ATAGTTTTTAATATTGAACCTCAGTAATTGCGCTACGTTCTACAATATCTCTGATTTATGATAAAAATGTTCATTGTAATGCGTCAATTTGTAAGCGGGGAAGGAGCAACTGTTACTAGTTCACTTAATGATTATGTTCCTATGTTAGATGGCTTTTAATTTGTACCTTCAGTGTGAGAGAAATATATATTATGTAACTCTTAAGAGATTTTCTATACTTCCATTGCTTTATTTTGAAATCTTTACGATATCCTTGGACTAGTTCGTGCAGTAAACAGCCGCTTAGCATTAATCTTAGATACTACCATCACAGAACTTTAATAAAGATAAGAAAAGATAAAACATGGTTGTGTTGTAATTTTAAACTAGAGCGCAGTTTTTATGAACCCACAACTTTTCAATCTTAATAGGCCATTAGTGTAACAAGTGTTCAAATTATGATATACATGAATGAAGTACACAATAACAATTAGTAATAACAAAAATTGAAATTGACAGCGCAATGTCTTTAATCATTAAAGATGTCTGCTGATACACTGTTCTAATAGAAAGACTTAATCTGACACTCTTTGATCATACGAACATGAGAGATTTAAATAAATACATTATCTGGGTCAGCAATAACACGGTCCAAATTTATCCGGTAAATAAAGTCGAAATGACCATAGCGTTTTATTCCGTACGATAAATCAATTAGTGTTCCATCTCGGGCCGATACATGCAACACGTGTTGTTGCTAACTGGGCCGGCTGCGCTGCAGTCAATCAATAGCACGTACAAAGTAAACAAATTACATACGCCTTTCCAATAACGAGACTTCCTCCGCTTCATTGTATACATAAAAACGTTATTTGTTCTCACGTTTGTACGCGGTGCGAATCCCACAATGTTACTATATAACTAAATCACTCTTCTCTTGTTTGGATATTCTACTGTCAATTCGCTGCTATGTTAATTTTATTAGTGATATTAGTCGGTTATATTACTCTACTAACTACTTCATACATTATTCGGGCCTATTTTCACACGTATAGACCGATCTTAGATGAGTCAAATTTTTCACATCAATGTACCGAATGTCAATATATTACTCACAGCGGCCTCTGCTATTACACAATAGGACAAGCTCGTCCATAGAACTGGGGGAGCAGAGGAGTGTCAGTAATGCGGTACGTCGTTCTCCTACCATCTGCGACATAACTGTGGTGAGCGGTGGAGCCATTGACCAGTTTCGCCGCTGGGAACTGGGCTTACTGCTTATTGCGGCTCTCCTGGCTCAGGGCTCAGCAGACTCAGGGTAAAGTAGCAAGGCGTAATAACTATGCGCCTAAATAGAGCGAGAGAATCTTAATTTAATTGAGGAGAATTGCTCCCCAAAGACGGACTGATGAAGCGGCCAGCGCTGGCAGTATCGCGAAAGCGTTCCCATGGCCTAGCCGATATGCGCTCTACGTAGAACATTGTCGGGATTTTAGTCGGTGCGAGTTCGTTATCACCTGGATATGCGTAGATATTTTCCCCCGTTACAAGAAAAGGTCGTCCAGAGAAGTTCCAGGCTCCATATAAAACAAAATAAAGAATAAGTATTTGGTACTTTGCATTAGACCTAGTGAGTAAGAGCGTGGACCATTTTTTTAAAGATTCACAACGCATTTGCAACCCCTCCATAAATTTTGTTTCTGGCAATGGCCAACGTTATCGCATAATATCATATTAACTGTTCTTATGACTAATTACGCAAAACATAATTTTTTCTCGTTAATAATATTAGTAAAAAATTTAATTAAACATTATTCCATACAACTACATATTACATTACGCTGCAGCTTCATCATTATTTTAAAACAGAATAATTTGAATACATATGTGTCTAAAATTCATATTGCGAAATGATCGTCCTTCGGCTGTGAATCCCTGCTCCATCACACAATATAACCCCAGTTTATCAAGATTTAATCGTGGACATGCAGACGATCCCAGTGCGTGAAGGCCTCAGAAAGGGTTAAATCTGCTATATCCGACGAAATCTCTGTAATATGTCACAATAAACATCTTTAAGAAAGCAAAAAAGTATTTATATTTGGTATAACTACGATTTTATTTTGCTAGCACCAATGATCTAATACAGATGTACATACGTACATGCGTCATCTGTATTAGAAATTATATTTAAAATTGTTCCGCTTTACATTATATGACGTTTATTAGTGAATATATAGAAATTCTATATATATAGAATTGCAATCTAATTACACTAATTGGTGTAATGTGAGTGCCTCAATTTCGGTGCGCTAGTGTCGTATCTTTTTATATAATATCATTGGCTAGCACACAGATATATTATATTATGATGATCCATATTTTCTCGAAGGAAAGCCAAGATTTACCAAATGTAGTGCTGTATTTTCAACCGACTTCAAAACAGGAGGAAATTCTTAATTTTCATTTTCCTGTTTGTCGTTTGGCACCTTAGAAATCCAACATTTATGAATACAATTTTAAAAAATCTTTTACATTGGGTTTTAGGTTTGGCTCCTATGTGAGTCCATATTAATTTCTTGGTATTGGGCCTTAAACTCCGAAGATACATCAGGGAACTGAAAAATCAAATTAAAAAAATATGTAGTAAATGATGTTGTTTGAAGTCGGTTTTGTTTATTGTTAATAAAAATGTATTTGTGTCATTATTATATAAAGATGATTAGTTGGTAAACTACCTACTTAATTCGAAAATAGTAAGTTACATTCTGTGTTATGGAATACAAATACACGTTTTCGAGGAAACGGCAAACATATCGTTATATAGGTTAGCAGCTTACCGTGTTATACTGTCATTAATGTAACTGCTTCATCAACACATTAATGTTGAACTCTTGATTGGTATTAAGCGTTTGCCTATACAAACTGCTACGGAAATAAGTTTTGCGTTATTATCAACCGATTTCACACTGCAACTAAAACACCAACGTATTGTACATGTAACAAATTTTGACCATAACGATTTGGTCTATGTATGAGTCAACTTCACGACATCTCTTAATATAACTGTGGACAATTTCACGAATAGATGATTAACTGTAGTCGTTATGCTATATTATAGAACCTTGTGGCTAGATCCAAACAACTTTATGTATATAGTTAAATTTAATAACAATTTCGTAAATACACTCGGTGCATTAAACAATTACTGGGACTTGCAAAGGCTTTTAGTTGTAATGGAGTTGTTTGCGAAAGTGCTTAATTTCAAACTTACTTTATGTGTGCTGATGTCGGTAAGCAAGGTGCAAAGTTTGGAAATTTTTAGATTATTAAAGTGTGACGAGCACTTGTATAATGATATCACCACGCCCGAATGCACACTTGACCCAAATTGAAGGAAGTTGTTTCTAATTGACGCCGTTTTTTGTGACTTAAGATTGAGTCACAGAAGCATGCAGTTTATAGAATACTTAACCAAGGTGGAATACCAGAATGTAACATATTAAATAACCACAATATTAAAAACCCATTAAACCGTACATAAATAGAAATAACAATTTTTACTAGTTTACGTTTCAAAATATACTATAAAAAGTATAATTTACGAATTTAGCTTTCTAAAGAACATTCAAGTGACCCACGACGTCGTTCGAATAACATACTTATAAATTAATTAATTATAATTTAAGTTAATCCTAATTTTATAACTTATTAATTTCATACTTTAAATGCCCCTTATCTATGCTTGTAGGCTTCTATCGAGCTTAGAAATTACTCTCGGTATCTGCCGTTGAAAGATAATATTATAAAATCAGTTCTTTTCGTGAAATAACTATAGAAAATCGATGACTCCGTGGCGCAGTTGCCAACGTATTGGCTTCGGCGGCGGGGGTGGTGGGTTCGATTCCACGGGACAACTATTTGTGTGACCCACAGATAGTTGTTTCGCATCTGGATGTTTGTCCACATGAAATTTATGTTTGTAAAACGTCCTTACAGCACAGGATAATGTAATCCTAAAGTAAGGGCAATGTTTTTTTTAAAAAGACAAGATAAGCAGACAAACAGATAAACAATATAAAAAAAACATTGTATAGCATTGTTTAAACTCCTTTTTTCATCATCATTGACTTAAATTCTTTACGCTATTATCTATTAGATAAATAAATTTTTATAATCGTTTAAATTATATGGAGAATCTATTCTAGAAAAAAAAATCGGTCAGCAGATAAAATCATGTATACTATATAACAAATGTAGCAAGTAACATGTCTTCACGAATAAAAAAAACACTTTATTGAGACATCACGTTATTTATTAGTAGTAACATCTTTTTGCACGTTTTTTAAATTAAAAAACCTACTTACCTAACTAAAACTGAACCCAATATAATATGAATCATGATCAACAAAATTTTTACCACATTCCCCACAAAATTGTCTGGTTACGAACGAAAAAATTCAAAGACATAAATCCGGCAACGCTGACGTCAACAATCGACTTATTTATCTAATGATGCGTGCCCCAACAGTCCCGCAAAAAGTTTTCGCTAGCTCCATGCTGAAAGCGCCAGGCAACTTTGACGAAACTGCGGAACCGAGACGCTGGCAACGGTACAGTTGCTTTTGCAACGCGAAAAAGTTCCACCTGAAAATGCTGCTCGCGACGGCAGACGTATACACTTTACATATTTTACCATTATAAAATCTATTGTATATTTAATATTTGATCCGGAGTGCGCAACAAAGTTGTTAATATTTAATTAACATGGATGGCCACAAAAAATCGTTAATATAAGCTCAAATAAACAAATCGATAAAAATGTTCAACTATCACAGTCGTTTTGTAAATAGTCTAGACACTAGATGGGAAAGCATTTTCCATAAACGTTATTAAACACCTATACAACAATCAAATTGTAAATAATAATATATATTGTAAATGATTGAAAATAAATTTGTGATTTGATTTTTACGATGTTATATATTAAACTCGTTTATTTTCTTTTGGTTACAGCGCAAATGCAACCACCGCGATTTAGCATGCAACCATCATCTTTAAACAGCATAGTCCGTGAGGGAACTACGAAGATATTGCAATGCTCTGCAGTCGGTGAGGAACGGAAATATTATTTGCTGTATAGGTGAAGGCGATTCATCCGCTTTCAAGTGATTACCGCCGCCCATGGGCCAACAAAACACAGATGGCCTTGCTCAAAAAGAGGATGGGTCTCAGTTATCCCCACCGTACTTCTATTTTACGTCAGTCTTCTATAACTTCGTAGTGCTTCCTCGAGTGAGCAGGACATAAAACAAATAAAAATTGATATATACAATGATCAATGTGCATATGCCTTTCCAATAATGGTATTATTTGTAGGCATTCCGCAGCCAATGTACAGGTGGTTAAAAAACGGAGTGCCACTTGGAGAATACTCGTCGGAGCTCTTTTACAAAATTCACAACACTCAGCGCCAGGACGCGGGCGCATACCAGTGCATAGCTAAAAATGACGTTGGAGCTGTTTTCAGCGAGAAGAACAACATTATCGTCGCATGTAAGTAATCTGACGTTTAATTACACACCTAATCACTCGTGGGACTTAAGTTCCTCCGGAATGCGTCTATTGATTTAATGTCCATTTGTATGACGCATAGAAGTTAAGAAATGCACGGAGTGGTATATTTCCATCATTTTTTATATATCGTTTTTATTTTTTATCTATACATAAAAAGCTCTTTGCTATACTATCCTTATCTTACATCACACTTTTAAAAGCTATGTGGGCAGATCATTCTTGTTTATTATATGTGAACGGTCTAGCTAGACTAAAGGAAATAATTCGATTCAGATGCTTTATTCTAAGCTCCGAATCAATGCGATAAAATATATTGTGTATCTTATAAATCATGGAAGAAAAAAATATAGCAATAATTTTAACTATAAAGGTCGTTTATGAATTTACCATGTCTACTTTTATACCTACATAAAATCGCTTAATATTTTATTAATCTAGAAAAGCGAACTTTTTACTGTTACAGAGTAGTGAGGCAACGATTATTCATTCGGTAGTTAACTCAGCCATTCATTATTATTCCCTTAGCTACAGCGGGAAAAGTTAATAAATACAAAATGATTGATTTTAATCCGACGCGGTCTCGGAAAGTATATTGAGCGATGGGCTTTCAGACTAAAGTTGTTAAATTGATATTACTGTAATGTTTTTTTCAATTCCCTGCATGGACCATTATTTTGAGTGGTATGCATTTAGAGAGGTTAAATTGCTCTTAACTTGGATTAAGTTCGTGTTCTTGTCAAGTTGAGTTTGGAGTGAACTTCACAAATTAAGTTAAGGTTCGTAAAGTGTAAATTGAAATATAGAAATATCCTTTGCAGATAAATATATGGACTCAACAACCCCACGATATTGTTTGAATTTACAATAGTTTATACAACTAACAGCTTCCAAACCTCCTTATAGATATTATGCACTGGTGGATATAAATTAGTTTTATCTTAAATAATAGCCACCTAGCGACCAAGATTTCGATTTCACGGAATGTATCGAATTTCTTGTCATGGACAGTCTCAGTGTAGCTTGCATAATTGAAACAAAAACTGTCATGCCTTATGCATGGCTATATGCCGCCAAAATCGATAAAACCAGGAAAATACTTACAACACTATACTTCTAAATTACTCGATATATTAGTTTCTTTGATTTAGTCGTTTTTTTTTCTCCTAGGGCTATGAGTTAATGTTTAAAAAATTTGAATAGTTACATACTAAAATATGTAGAAAAAGTGTGAAAAGATTGTCGCCGCTGTGGGAATCGAACCCACGTCTTCGGCATTCGCGGCCTGACGCTCTAGCCACTGAGCTAAACGGCTGATTACCACACCGACGAAAATCTTAACGCATTCTTCTACATTGTTTTCTTAGCATTTGAAGCAATGCTTGGCGCCTTGCGTGGCGCTTGGCATGCGTGTGCAAAGATTAGCACTATAAACAATTTAAATTTCTAGTTACATACTATAAAATAAAACTATATATTAAGAATACTATCGTGTTGTTTTAAGTTAAGTTACCGACATTACAAAAATTTCATTCAATAATCTGTAGTATAGTAAAAAATATGATAGCAACAGCAAAATGTATGATTAATTCTTTTTAAATTTATTAAACCAATATGAATCTAGATGGAGTTTTCTGAACACAATATTCTTATAGTTTTTTTATAATTTTAAGCATGTTTTTATATGCAAATTTATTTAAATTAATAATTTTAGATATGGGTGTTTTCGGAAACATCACCGAACAAGAAGTGACTGTTGAGTCGGGAAGAGCTGCCATTTTGGACTTTCCTCCCATCGAGTCTGAACCACCGCCTTCGGTTATCTGGCAGGATGAAAATGGCGTAAATGGTGTGCTCAGATACGATCAAAAGTACGCCATCACCGACAAACATCAATTAGTAATATTATGTGCTTCTAAAGAAGATGAAAGATCGTATAGGTAAGATTTTTTTTAACTTTAAATGTATCAAATACTTTGCAAATTTCATATTCAATATGGGTGCTGGCACCAATCGATATATTGGTTTAATTTTGGGACTTCTCGAAAAAGGATTAGAACAATTAAAGTTGCAAGAAAAGTAAGTTAAATAGTCGAATATTAACAAACTTATAATGGTTTAAAATAGTTGGAGGGGAAATGTTCTCTTTCCCGTAAAATGAAAATTATTAGAGAACGTCTTTCAATTACTAGAACATAACTCAACTGTGACGTCATAGCTTTGTAATGCTTTCTCTGTCTCAATAGCAACATTGAAATCCTTATAACGTTGTTATTTTTCAAGATATCTTCTTAATTTCGACTACACTTTCTTCGACTGCTCTATTTGATTATAAATTATAAAAAAAATCAGATTCATCATCCCTAATTGAAATAATATGCAGTACTCATGGTCTCAATTTTGTAGGATGAGGTACTTTATTCCGTTATTTATAAAATTAATAAACCTGTAAATTCAAAAATTCAACAAAAACAAACTTTTAAACGTTTTTTGTTTTTTTTTTTGCATTGATCAGAATTATTAATATTTTAGGGCTCGCGCTATAAACACACAATTGGGAAAAGTAGAAAATAGCCCTTATATAAAACTAAACGTGTACGGCGACGACACCAAAGAAATAGCTCCGGAAATCATCATAAAACCGCAAGACACGAAAATAATAAAGGGACAAGAATACCGGAACATTTACTGCATCGCCAACGCGAGGCCCCTACACGAGTTGGAGACACTCTGGTTCAAAGACGGCGTGCTCATCGACCTTGCCGGCATAACGTACGATTTGAACGACCAGTGGAACAGGACACTAAGTCTTATATCGGCCAACTTGACGCACACGGGCCAGTACACGTGCCAAGCTAGATTGAAAACGGGCGGTTTCGCCACGGTGACCGCGTCCGCCTCTGTGATAGTGTACGAGAAACCGACGATGCTGTCCAGCCTCAAAGCCGAGACGTACGGCGAGTTCGGCAGCGTAATAGTTCTGGAGTGTAACGTTGAGGGCATACCGCTGCCTGGCATCACATGGTACAAGGACGCGAAGAAGATCGCAAGTGTCGGCGCTGAGGCAGGTGAAGCGGACAGCGGGGACGTCGACGACGGCGGCGGCCGGTATAGGGTTGAAGTCGACCGGTCGCTCATCATTAGCGATTTGAAAATGGAAGACATGGGAATATACCAATGCATTGCAAGCAACGAAGCCGGCGAGGCCTCCTTGTACACTTGGTTGAAAATAAAGAGTAAGTTTTTTTTTGTTAATTTAATGATATTTACATACATTTCTCTAAGTGACAGCTGTTTCATGATTCTGGTGCATACATTGTTTTAAAGTTCTTCTTTTGAACTCGGAAACAGAAAAGGTATACTGGAATTTCCTGGAATCGACGTGTTTCTATTGTAATTTGTTAAAAGACTTTCTTCACATAGAGTCCACACACAATTTATACGTCTGACTATTATGCAGTGCGGGACAATAGACGCACGCCGCGCAGTCACATGAAGTTGATTAGAATGAGGACTGCAGACAAAAAGACAAAATCTTTCCGATTTGATACTGGCAGTAAGAAAAGTCATTGATGTATTATTGCACATTTTGATTGCAATTATGCTTCTATAGCACAATGATTGGTGATTTTTTTGTTTTGCCTTATTTAAGATTTCTTCAGTTTTATGTGAGTCGTCGATGGTTACAATTTCTAATCATTTGCTTTTTATGTAGCAAGCGAGTGAGTGAGCGATTTTAATAGATTTAATAAAACCGTAAATATCGATTAATGTTCAAGTGTGATTTTTGTCACGTTTTCAGCATGATTTTTATAGCACAAATCTCTTATCTCACAATTTTACAGGTCGAAGAATAGTTTAGATAAATATTTTTAACTTGTTGGAATAGACGTAACTAATTGAATGGCTGCATAGAAACTTGGATGGTTTTATTTGGTAATAAATATAGTTTATAATGATTTCGATAAACAATGTCATTCACATTTATTGCCGTTCAATATTTGAAGAATTATGAGTCCAACAATGAATGTTGCTAACAATTGTTTCTTGGAGACCAAAATTCAGATTAAAATTGTTCAAAGTGAAATCAAAATTGTTTGCCTCACCGACCCATGGGAGATGATGAAAAATTGATCAGCTCTTTCCTTATCTACAGCGTCCCAAGACTTGAAGGACACCTGCGTAGCTTTAGAGCCCCGTAAATAAACCGGTAGGGGTTTACGACTTCCCCGAGAAACCACCCTGTTTTATTTAGAATGCCCCATAAAATTATTATAAGTGTCTCTTTTACTTAATCAATCGTATATAAACAATCCATGTATATGCAATCAATAGCCGATTCGACTTACCAAAATTACGTTATTTATTTAAACTTTTGATTAACCAACAAAAATTGAAGAACCAAATAAGTAACTTATGAAAATAGCGTCTCATTTAATACCTAAAAAAATACTGACGATGTCGCAAGTATTTATAACGAATCTCATGGGAGTTCTAGAAAAAACTCAAATTGATTTCCTGTTACACGTAATATTCGCTCTATACGATGGTATTAATATCTTTCGGTATTATATTTCTTTGTTATCCGAAGTTCGCTTTCAGCCGCCATTGAGCGAGACAACAGACGTTTAGTCGACTACTTCTCAATAGCCTGTGCATTCGCATTTTTTATAATTAAATTAACCTCATTCTATTCCATCCTACACCTTGCAGACAAATTTTCCCTATAGACATTGTTACATACACTGCAAATACTTACCAAATAAAAAGATAGTAATACTTTCTATGTAAACCACAAAAAAATCATTTACTTTTGAGCACTTCCACGTCTGACCTCAATAAAGGTTTTATTGACCTCTAACAAGAGCAATAAAATCAAATGATCCACAGCATCGTATCGGCAGTGTGTGTTGATAAAAAAGGCGCGCTTAGACATGCGGATTCAACGGAACGAAGCTTTATCACCCACTTTTTGCCATTAGTTTTTCCCAAGTTTAGGTGTTAATCTGTAGCCTAGTATATTGTTGTATATCTATTATCCATACGTTTTTCTTATTCCTAACAGAAATAGAAACGATTTCAATGCATGCGAATAAGTATTGTGTCATCACTACCACGTTTGTTTACTAATACTGGTATTTAGTTTCCATTGATATAGCGTCTTAGCATAGAGTAGCGCTCGAGTTAACAGCAATGTGTGGCTTGTAGCAACTCCGCCAGTAATGCAGAGCGCGCCTTCGAACCTCACGGTGCTCGACGGAAAAGACGCCACGATCACCTGCCGTGCCATCGGAGCGCCAACGCCCAACGTCACCTGGTACTTCAACGGTAAGACCCGGAGCCTTTAGGTTCGGCGCATTTCGACATATCATAATAGTTTTCTACAGGGCTAGCGCGCTTACCATCAACGGCTGCATCGCCACTTACCATCAGGTGGGATGGCAGTCAAGTGCTGGCCAGTTTTGAGTTAAAAAAAAATATCCGACACTCTCGTCTCCAGTAATTGTAATGTAGTAACATTCGAATTTCACTTTTAGTAGTTTCTTATACATAATATGTGAACATTAATTGTGTGTGAATAAATATTTTACGCTGCACTGTACATATGTGCAATGTACATGGTTTGTAATTATTATTTATTATAATATTGTCGCTGTAATTGTAATATATTGATAAGCAAAAGCATTCACAGGTTTAATTAGTTAAAGCAGGCAAGGAGATGGTACTATATTACTGCACTTTGTTGAGTAATATAGTACCATCATAGAATAAAAAAATAGGTCGGGGCTATTTTTATCACTTTCTATTTCTTACATAGACAGTGCTAAATATTTCTATTTCTTCCATATCCGCTAGTCTAAACATAAATTCTTCACTGTTAAGTTCATGATTCCGTAAAACATAAGAATATCCCCAATGGCTATTGAGGATATTCTTGATAGATTATATCATCGTATGTATGTAACCTGAATTTATTGACATTTGCATAACGCTTGATATAATGGTCGAATGAATTGCGCCTCGGAATGATTGTTAATCGCGAGATTAATAATCTCGATTCATTATCGTAACCATGTATTTGTTAACAATAATTTAACTTCAAATGGCTTTGATTTGTACATACATTAAAATAAAATAAAAAATGCTATACAGCTATGAATGTTTAACGAAAGCAAATCAATTAATGAAACGCATCCCACAGACGACATTTTCCCGTTTTCAGATTCCCTGATAATTAAGCTATCAGGCAGACTGCAGGCTTTAGACGAGGGGGACCTGCTAATTACGAGCACGACAACCGCCGACAGCGGGAAATACACCTGTATACGTGCTAACGACGCAGGAAACGTCTCTGGGGAGGCGTACCTCACCGTACTCGGTACAACTTCTATAATAAGTTCAGCCCGGATCTAGGATGAGGGTCACAATCCCGAAATAAAGAAATTTTTGACAAACCTTATTTTCACTTACTTTCACTTGAATGCCACATAGATATTTTTATCACGGACTGAGCGTAACGAAAAAAATAGTAAAGCTAAATTTTCCATAAGTAGACGTATTGATTTTTTATATGTGGAGTCTTTGAGAAACTACATCTGATCGCCTTCAGACTTAAGCTAACAAAATGGTCTAGACTCATTTTTCATAATACGTTATTAAACCTAGGTGCTGAAAAAATTTGTAACACCTATATAACTACAACTGACTGACTCATACGTTCAGAGACTTTTTCATTCGTTGCCACAGCGTCGCATTACCAATCTCCTTCTAACAATATGTTTTATCTCTTTTATATTAATTCAACCCATTCATACGCTTCGTGACCTTTACAAATGAACTTTACGTTACAGTTTTATACCTAAGGGTGTCTCCTAAAATTCTTTGTTGTGGAAAATTTAATAACTCGGTAAATATTGATGTTTAAAGAATGTAAATTTTTACTACCGTTTTAAAAAGTTATCCTCTATATGTGTGTTCATTTATTGTCGCGATTGTAACGACACGCTGTATAAGGGACCTAGTAAACATTTCCTAACCCTCGCTTAATATTTCTCATGTTTTCATTTTCTTAATTTTATTCTTAAATTTTTTGATTGTTGTATTTGAATAAAGAATAAATTCATACATTTGTAATAAAAGGGCTAAAGCTTATTAAAACGACTAAAAGCAACTATACTATAGTACTACAATAATTTTAGTCATATTTAATTATCTAAATTTTCTTATGGAAAATCGATAGCTATAAAATATCTGTTTCCATTACGTTATTGGTATCTTGGGATTAAGTAGCTTAAGCCATTAATTTTATGAGTTTAATATTACATAGAATACCTATTCGTCCACTTTGATATCAATTATTTTAAGGCAGTACTTATAGTCAGTCTACTAAGGTCACAAAAAAATCTTGCTTTTTTATTTATTTTTTTCTTTAAGCCATCATTTGATGCTGATCATCTTAATATTTAGATTAATAATTGTTGTCGTTGGATTAATTAAAGTAACCAATAGCGAAACTTACCACCACTGCTCGATATTACAATTGAATACGGAAAACTTTAAAATATCATCAAAATAATTCGCTCTCGTCGATTAAATTGAAAGTGAAATATTTTATGTCCACGTTTTTTATGACATATAAGTTATTTACATATTTTTTTTTAATATGATGGATGTTGTTAAATCCATTTATTGAATGCATCTGTAATATTCCGACAGTGAGGACCCAGATCATAGCCCCGCCTGTAGATACCCGCGTGTTATTGGGTCACACGGCGACTTTGCAATGCAGAGTCTCAAGCGACCCCAACGTCAAGTACAACATCGACTGGTTCCATAACAAGCAGTAAGTAACTTTAAATTAATTAATGACACCACATAATTTAGCAGCATTCATGTCTTTTACCCGACTGTGCCAGAAGGAGGGTTATGTTTTTCGAGAGTATGTATGTTTGTATAATTGTTTTGCACGCTGTGCAGCCTGAACGGCTTGTTGGATTTTAGCTTGAGAGGTGTCGTATTTGCTGTGAGAGTGATATTGGGTATATGAAAAAATTCCACAGAAACGCAATCGGTTTTTTTATTTTTTAAATCATATTCTACTTGTTAAATCAATAGGGTGTCACAAATAACACAAACTCTCATTTTTTTTAAATACTCTGTAGCGCAGTTGTTAAACTATTCTGGTCGCAGGTTCGATTCCCTTGCGGGAGAATTATTTGTAGGTATGAGTATCAGATAATTGTTCCATTTGGATGTCTGTTCCCAAGTGTTGATATCAGGCGGCCGTTTATAATAAAAACATAGCCAAAACCATTTACAAAATGTTTCACATTTACCATTTAGGTGGGATAAGGGCAAGAGATTGAAATGTTAAAGTATATCAACATATCTGGTATAAACATTATATACGGGTTACTTTAATAGAATAAATTATCTTTAAATTTCTATTTTATTTTACCTAGGTATTTCAATCTTGAACATTCGTATTTTCGTTGTTTTTGTTGTCGCCCTGCGTAACCATAATTGTAATATTTTAATTAGTTTTTTAGCTTAATGGGACTTCAAAATTCGTTAGTGTCACACGTGTTTTTGCCAACACAAATCCAGCACCCGTGCATGGTTATTGTTTCATAGCGGAAGTCGACCTTCCGCTCTGTAACCGCACGCTTCCACCGACCATAAAATAAAAAACGCGGCAACATTTCACACTTGTCACGCTTTTTTAATTATTTATCGTGAAAATTATTTAAAAAAAAATTCACCAAAAAAAATATAATGCAATGTATTTTTCGGAATCGAAACTATTAAAATCGGAAATTACAAAGAAATTACCTGTAAAGATGTCGTAAACTCTCAATAAAAGCTGTATAAAATGTTATCATTACGCCGCAGTAAAGCAAAACGTTCACATTCGACGTGGAGATTTTCAAGTGACGCATTAACTGTCTAAATGAAACGGAGTCCTGTCCACTTTTATTATCAATAAGCCGTCAACCATCGATCATTGGGAACTAATTACAGATTTTATTGTTAATGCTAGCAAAAGGTATACAGATTTTTACATTACCTTAACTTTGTACCTATAATAATACAATAAATATATACCCACATATAAAATACTATTATTTTCAGAACGAAAACCATTCACACACACATTCTGCATTCTTTTTCTGGTGTTAAAATATGTGTGTAAAAAAGTCTTTCCAGATTGCATAAACATTTGACTGACAATTTTTTTTTTAATTAAGCGTTTATTCCATATTTTTTATTTTCTAATCACTTTAAAAAAGACTTATCACATGGTGATACGAAGAACTTAAAAATGTTTATCTGTTCCAGATTAAATGATAGTTTTGATCATAATTATATCATGTATTCATGCATGTTCATAAATATTACTGTACATTTCAAAGGACATGAAAACTAAAATAAAATAAAACGTGTTTCACAAGTCATATCATTATCAATAGTAACAAGTTTTATAGGTATTAAAAGAACTGCTAACTTTTAATGTACACTTCAAATTACTTTCTGCATTACCCTATTACAGTTGCTGTAATGTAATTACGGGAACATAATTTTAGTAAAAAAATTTTTTTAATAAAAAATATCTGACAAGCGAGCTAGCCATTCACCTGATGTTAAACAGCTACCGCCATTCATAGACATTTAAAAGGGTGCCCAAGCTACCTCACCCACCAGACGAAACGCGAAAGAATAATAATGAAAGTCTGTTTTCCACCTTTCACTACGGTCTTCGGTGAGGCTGCAGTATTTCCCCGGACGAGCCTGCCTATTCGCAGCAGCCTCTCTTAAGTTACAAAATACATACAAATTCTTGACGAGATGCTAAAAACATTTTGAAAGGGACCTACTTAGTTACCCTTACCAATTAACTGTTTGCTTCATACATCGGAGTTCATTATTAGTGTCGATAAACGGCCGAGATCGCTGGTAACTAACCGGTACCTCTTTTTCTCCAACACCACTCGGGTACCTGCTATTAGCAGTAAGCGGTGGTAGTGCACTAAGCGGTGGTAACTCAGTCTGCGTTCCAACTTCGGGTACCCGAGCACCTTGTTCGCTGTGGCTCCATACAAAGCCGTCCGCAGGCCTATGACGGCGGGCTCGCGCGTTTGGGTGACGGCGGAGGGCGCGCTGCAGGTGCAGGCGGTGCGCGCGAGCGACGCGGGCGAGTACGCGTGCGTGGTGACGTCACCGGGCGGCAACCACACGCGCCGCGCCCTCCTCTCCGTCATCGAGCTGCCCTTCTCGCCCACGGTAACTCCCTACACTCACCCCTCACACCCATTCATCGTGCACGGCAGCGCATCAGGGTTGGATTGTAACAAACTGTCTGATTGGTCCACCAACGAATAGACTGGTGGACCATCAGATAGATGTTTATGAACAGTATTAATGGAAATAAGCGACTCGGCAAACGTCCTTCAAAGTAATCTTAACAGACTATATGGCCGCACAAATGGCGTGAATATTTCTATATTAGAATAGAGAATCTTACAGACATGAACACACTGTGTAAAGAAACTGTTAATGATGATTGATTATTGATGGGTATTAAAATTAAAATTTGTAGAAAATAGTAGTTTAGTTCTCCCATCGAAGGACTGATCAGTCCTGGTCCATCCATCAAACGTCTCCTAATTCGAAGTGTGATCGAAGAATCTCTTACTGAAAGATTTGACGCTTCGTTATAACAGAACGTGCGCGCGGCACGCCTGGACGCGTCGCAGCGCGCCGTCAACGTGTCCTGGACGCCAGGCTTCGACGGCAACTCGCCCATACAGAAGTTCATCGTGCAGCGCCGTGTGGTGCCCGAGTTTGGTGGGTAGATGAAACTCCCATTTTCGATCTACCCTCGTTTCAACACATCTAAATTTTATACTTTAGTCCCCGTGGAACGCTCTATTGGCTCTAAAAATCGATCTACTCATTTTAAACATCTCATTTTCAATGTACCCTTGTACATCTATATTTCGAACTTGTTATACAATAACTCAGTCCCCGTGGAGCGCTCTATTAACTCTTTATTTAGCTACGTTTAACAAGCCGAAGTTATCAACTCCATTGTTTTACTACTTCTACTACAATAGCAACTTTTACAAAAGCGAGCGCTTTCCCATATCACACTAGTCTTTAAATATCGGTAACTGCGGAGAATTATTTAAGTACTCCATTGAAGAAATTGATATTTTTAAATATTTCATTGATTTTCGTTAATTTACTACGTATCATAATTAATTTAGTATTTTTAATAAAATTAGCTCAACTTGAGATAATTCCGCCACCAATGTGATCAATTAATGGAATGGTTGGAATGGATCAATGAAAGTTAATTCGTCGAAGAACTCTTGCTACTCTATGTAGTCTATCAGGTTCTTTGGTTGTATATCACTTATAATATTCCTATAACTTAGAGGAGAAAGTCATCCGTTTATTCTTTTTAAGGTCCCACTCCCGACCCGTTGCTTAACTGGGTGACGGAACCCATGAACGTTTCATCCAGTCAACGTTGGGTGCTGCTGACGAGTTTGAAAGCGGCCACCTCTTACCAATTCCGAGTGTCTGCGGTAAACACAGTTGGAGAAGGCCCGCCATCGGATCCCACGGATGTGTTGACACTACCACAAGAAGGTATATAGTTCTACCAATTATTTTTCCAATATACGTTTGTTCAACTGCCACTATGCAAATGTTAATATCACAATCAAAACATCTCATACTGTTGTTCTTTCCAAGTCAATTCAGCATTCATTTCCAAGTCAAAATTAAACAGCAAAAATAAAACATGTTTAAGAATAAAACCATTCTTTTACAACCATGCAGCCGGTGACTTGATATGCTGCCAAGGTATGCGACGTTTACCAATCAAATGTCTTTACACTAAGCTTTAGGCCGTTCGTTATTGTCAAATCGATATTCGTCTTTATGGTATTGTGACGTCTCGTGTGCATGTAAAGCTTTACATATTATAACCTTTTCTATTTCCGCTTGTAAGAATTCGTTTGCATGTTAATTAGAATTACCTATGTACCGTAAGCAAACTATTTTTAATTATTTTACGGAATGCGTCACATTTTAATCTCTTAAAAAGCATCCATATGTTTCTCGATTTATTTATGAATGTCGTAATTGACTGCTATTAATAGAGAACAGAACCGTTCAAACGCGATGTTAACGCGCGACGATGCAACTTGCAGCGCCGTCGGGGCCGCCGCTCGGCTTCATGGGGTCGGCGCGCTCCTCCTCGGAGATCATCACGCAGTGGCAGCCGCCGCTCGAGGAGCACAGGAACGGGCACATCCTCGGCTACGTGATCCGGTACCGGCTGCGCGGCTACGACAACAGCCCGTGGACGCACCAGAACATAACCAACGAGGCGCAGAGGAACTACCTGATCCAGGACCTGATCACGTGGAAGGACTACAACGTGCAGATCGCCGCGTACAACGACAAGGGCGTCGGCGTTTTCTCGGACAGCTACACGATAAAGACCAAGGAGGGCGTGCCCGAGGCCGCCCCGGACAGCGTGCGCTGCGAGCCGCACAACTCCACCGCCGTTTCGGTCTGGTGGACGCCGCCCAACCCGCAGAAGATCAACGGCATAAACCAGGTCGGAATCCAGCCGATATCCGCGATCTCCTCACCGTGTCACTCGTATTTTAAAACCCCGACGTGAAAGGGTCGGAATGTAGCCGATACCCGCTTTTTCCTCGCCGTGTCATTCGTAATTTAAAACCCCACGTAAAAAGGTCTGAATGTAGCTGATGCCCACGAGTTCCTTCGTACCGTATCACTCGTAATTTTACCTCCGATGAAAATAATAAAAATAGGGGTGTTATAAGTTTGACGTGTGTATCTGTGTGTCTGTCTGTGGCATCGTAGCTCCCAAACGGATGAACCGATTAAGGTGCGGTTTTGGTTGAAAGCTGACGTTATTGAGATGGTTCTTAGCTACAATTTGAATTTTTTTTCTGTTAAGCAACCCTAACGTATATAATTTTATATTATTTTGTGAAAAGTTATCCAACGGGCAGGTGGTTTAACTTTTTTTTATGTGAGAAGGTGGCAAGTGAGCAGGCGATTCGCCTGATGTTAAGTGATAACCGCCGCCCATGGACATTTGCAATACAATAATAATTTGCATACTTAGGCTTACAGATGCCTTAGGCTTGCAGCTAGCTACTTCACTCACCAAACGAAAGGTGAAAGAATAATACTTAAACTTCACATCGGTCTTCTGCGCGGCCGTGGTACTTCTCCGGATGAGACTGCCTATTCCATATACAGACACATTCTAAAACATGATTAGATATTATATATATATATGTACAAATTTTTAGTACTAGTTGACATCAAGGACCGAAACTTCAGTTTTATTACTGAGAGATAGATTCGTAATCCACGCCATACAAACTTGAAAATGGTTTAAGGGGCCTTTAATCATAACTTTAACCATCTCAAATGTGCAGCAAACCATGAGTACCATTTTGTAATATTGTAATATGTTTATGTGATCAGTAAAACTAAACTGACTCTCGCCGGTTAGAAGTTCCGTTAACGTAATGCGAACTGAACATGGATGTTCGTTATAGGGTTACAAAGTTCAAGCGTGGCGATGGGACGAGGGCGAGAGCGCCAACGTCGAACAGAAGATTATCAGTATCCCTCCTAACTTGTTGGACCCCTTGACCGAGCAGTCCGCCATCATCGGCGGCCTCGAGAAGTTCACAGCCTACAACATATCGGTGCTCTGCTTCACCGAGCCCGGCGACGGACCCAGGAGCGATTACGTCCTAGTGCGCACCAAAGAAGACAGTAAGATATAAAATTTATATGAATATTAGGGGACCGGACAGACGTTGCCCTGTACACACGTCTTAAATTCGAAAATTTCAAACTTTTTGAATAACCGTGAATCTAACCATTCTCGAATCCACCTGAACACACACAAAAAAATTCATTTATCATTAGGAGGAGTTCAGTGACATACACACGTACAGAAGAATTATATATATAAAGATTAGAAATATACAGAACTGACTCCAGTGTGCACAATAACAAAGTTTCATAAAACGTAGTAACGTAAAGAGGCTATAACCTTAATACAACATTGATCATATTTCATTATCATCGAGAATCTCTGTAAATCAAACAATATTCTATTTAAAAGTTACATATATCAAGACGTAATACTTATACAATTTAAAAACGATCTATGTAAATTATCATTACTATTGCTTCTGAATAGGATCCAAAAAATATTTTCGCAAACGAAATTATAAACCTCGATAACAGTTCCGGACGAGGTGGGGAGTCTACAGTTCGACGACATATCGGACCGTGCAGTGCGTGTGTCTTGGTCGCCACCGAAGAAGTCGAACGGAGTCCTCATCGGCTACAAACTGTCCTACCAAGTCAAAGACAACAATGAGACCTACAGGGAAGAAATACTTCCGCCGAACATTACAAGCATTCGAGTAGAACATTTGCAGGTATGGCACACATTTCGTCTGGTGAACTGAGGTAGCCGGGGCCCACTTTATTAAAAGGTGGCAACGCACCTGCAACCCTACGAGTGTTGCAAATGTCAATGGTCGGCGGTTATCACATCAGGTGATCCGTCAACTCGCTTGCTTTCTCATACAAAAAAACATTCTTTATTATATTTATCAATGACATAGATTTATTACCCGGGCTCAAATACTCAAAATGGCTCCTCTATCGTCTAAAAAAGTAATTTTTGGCTACAAATTTAGGATATTGTTCTTTTACATTACATATTTGATGATGTTATCAGTACGTACCATTCGATTGAGGGTGGGATTTTAGGAATTTACGACGTTTATCAAGAGTTAAGCGGTTTTTGTGAACAATAAGTATGTCTCATATGCTCCATGTTCATTATGTTCGGATCGTAAACCAATTTTTATCCATGTTGCGAGTTGATAACGATAATCATTAAACATCCCCTTGACAATAAGTATCAGTCAAACCTTCTCGCACACTTTAAAAATTTTAAATCGAAGTAATTTTGTTTACAATATTGTTACATACACATAGACATTCGTTTATAACTGTTGCTGAAATTATAGGAATTAAAAAAAATATATAAAATGGGATCTAGTACACCATGATTGCTAAGTATCCGGGCGCTCGCTTTTAATTCAACGTACTCGAGCAACCTTGGTTCAAATCCTGGTGCAAAGAAATCGTTACTTGCAATTTTAGGCGCCGTTTTTTCACGTGATTGGCGGGGAAGGAAAACACCTCGAGGAAGTAAACCTAAATATTTTTGAAATATTAAAACAAAAGAAACATTTGAAGATATGCGAAGTACGCTGATGCCATTATATGGTCTGTACAGAGGAGGCCTTTGCGTAGCCAGCGGGACATAATTATATAGACTGTAATGTTGGTAACGCATTTGCAACGTGTTAGGTAGATGTACATGAGCGGGAGTAATATGAACTTCAGGTATAATATGGTAGATACAAAACAATGCTATGCCAAGATACAAAAGAAATGAAAGGAATCTAACCGGTGTTGGGCGCAGGCGAGCACGCACTACGTGCTGTGGCTGAGCGCGCTGACGGGCGTGGGCGAGGGCCCGCCGCGGAGCGCCAGCATGCAGTCGGGCGTGGAGCCCGTGCTGCCCGCCGCGCCCCGCAACCTCGCCCTCTCCAACATCGCCGCCGCCTCCGTGCTGCTGCAGTTCACGCCCGGCTTCGACGGCAACTCCTCCATATCGCTGTGGACCGTGCAGGTACTGAGGCCAACTGACGCCGACCTCTCAGATACCGATAGCCTATTCATATTATGTCCGAATTACAAAACATACTAATTGTCCTACCACCGATACGATAGGCACAGACCGCCCGCAACACCTCGTGGGTGACTATCTACGAGGTGAATGACCCGGAGGCCCAGTCCATACTCGTGACGGGCTTGGTCCCTTTCACCACCTACCGTTTGAGGCTGATCGCGACCAACGTGGTGGGCTCCTCGCCGCCATCGGAGCCCTGCAAGGAGTTCCAGACCATACAAGCGCCCCCGCAGCACCCGCCGAGAAACGTCACCGTGCGAGCAGTCAGCGCCAACAATCTAAGAGTTAGATGGATTGTGAGTACTCTTCGCGCTATTATAATAAATAAGATTGCGTGCGAGCTTACTCTTAGAGATACGGAGATCGCCGTACTAAGAGTTGAATGTCGCTTATGATGTTTATGAATTAAAATTTCATTATTTTATTTCTAAAAAAAATATGGTATGGTCTAATTCGTTTTTTCCTTATTACCCATATACCCATATTAACAAAGCACGTATTATCCTTTTGATATATTACGAATATCAATTAAACAAATAATTTCCTTCAGCCTCTCCAGCAAAGCGAGTGGTTCGGCAATCCCAAAGGTTACAACATCACGTACAAACGCAGCGGCAGCAATGACACCTTATTCAGCATAATCGAGGACCACACGGCAAACTCGCACGTGCTGTCCAACCTCGAGGAGTGGTCTTTGTACGAAATTCGCATGACGGCCATAAACGAGGTCGGTGTGTCTGCGGAAAGTCCAACCGCCGTGGAAAGAACTAGAGAAGCAGGTACTTAAACATATTTCTGATATTTTATCTGCGTCTTTTATAACCCGTTTGCCTTAATAAAGACATAAACGTTCTTACTCACTCATAAGCATCTTACTTATAATTCATTATCTCTTATAAACCGTCTTCTTTCTTATTTGTCCTGCACTTATCCTATCTTTTTGGGACCGAACGTACCGTTAATGGTATTGGCGACCTGGGTAACGTCAACCTTTCTTGGAAATAAATGCCCAAATCCGGAACAATTATATGCGGGTCGCACAAATACTTGTCCCGTGTGGGATTCGAACCCACGACCCCAAACGCCATCGTTCACTTTCACTATTTACCTCCTATGTAAACGCGTTAACCAGGCTTAATCTAATTATTTGGTTATTACATGCTTGCGTCAAACATTACGTGTAATTCTCTGCCTACTATTTAAAGGTCAAACCATTGTAAAATGAAACATTTTTGATTAAACTTCTCTCATTACCTACAGTTCCCTCGTCCGGTCCCATCAGTGTCTCAGCTAACGCCACGTCATCGACGACAGTAGTCGTTCTGTGGGGAGATATACCGGTCCAGGACCAAAACGGGCTGATTGAGGGATACAAAGTGTGCTACGCGGCGATCGTGCCACCGCCGAGGCCCGAGCATCAGAAAGTGGATTGCCAATCCATACCCTCAAACCAGACCCACACTGTGACCTTGACGGAGTTGAGGAAATACGTCGTTTACCAGATCCAAGTATTAGGCTACACGAGATTAGGTGACGGGGCTTTAAGCGACCCGCCGGTGACAGTGAGAACATTTGAAGATAGTAAGTACTTATGAAAAAATGTAAACAACTCAAATAGCGCGATAATTAAAAAAAATATCTAAAATCACTTTTCGATAAAATATCTCGATTTCCTTACCTCCGAAACTTTTTTAGAATATATTATAATTCTATAATATTTACATAGCCTTCACATATTTTAACAAGGCATTGTTTTTGATAAATAATTTTGTTACACATCGAAATTCACAAAAAAAATAATCAATTTTACTTTGCCAGCTCCCGGTCCTCCGTCCAACGTGTCGTTCCCGGACGTGACATTTACGACGGCGCGTATAATTTGGGACGTCCCGGAGGATCCTAACGGAGAAATATTGGCTTACAAAGTCACCTATCATCTCAACAGCTCTACGCAACACATGTTCTCAAGGGAATTTCTTCCTTCGGATAGGACTTTTAGGTAATTCCGGTAAACCAGTTATTTTAGCATATGTATTTGCTTAAGAAACGGAAATAGAAATAAGACATTAGAGTACTTCACAAATGGTAGTCTAATAATTATTGTAGTATCATATTAATATTATAGATGTCGTAGTTTGTATTTTATTAGGAAACTTCGCAGACACAAATAAGTAACAATAATATTTAGTCAATTAAAAAGTTTACATATATTTAATCCTCGAAATAATAATTTAATAAATATTTAAATAATTTATTTTTTTATTTTATTTAATGAATTGATGAATTGTCAAGCAGACATTATTAATCCTTTACGAGGAGTGCCACTGTAAATTATGTATTATGTAAATTTGTCTAATTTGGTTTTGCCACTATACGGTGATGTTTTTAATTTTTTGGTCAGACTTAATCAAACTCGATATATAAACGGGCTTAAAAAATATATGGATCTACCATTCGCCGGCTGTGTAATTACGGAAAGGCTCGCCGTAGACGTATATAAGTGGCAGTATTCGCAGTCGAGAGTACAGAGCGAAGCTTTAATAGTCTACGGACTGAAAGCAAAAGCATCGGTCAAAGTAATGTGTAAAGTGAGTGGGCATCCGTCAAATGAGAGTAAATTAAAGTGAGCGTTGTCTCCCCAGGGCGACGGAGCTCGCGCAGGAGCGCTACTACCTGTTCTCGGTGACGGCGCAGACGCGGCTGGGCTGGGGCGGCACGGCGCGCGCGCTGGTGCTGAGCACGGCCAACCGCGCCGCGCCCGCGCCGCCCGCCCGCCCCAACGTGCAGCGCTCGCTGCTGCAGCCGCACCACATCACCTTCTCCTGGACGCCCGGCGACGACGGCTACGCGCCCCTCAGGTGACGTCACTTTTTGTTTCATCAGAATAATAATAGTAATCATTTATTCGCATTAACATCGTACATATAGCGGTGTCTAAATTATTACAATAGCTCATATGCGAAAACCAATGTTTAAATAAACGATACAGACAATATAGTTCCACCCTAATCAGGTTTTACAATGTGTCTGTATATCAGAATGTGTCTGGAAAAGGCTCTGAAATGGAAACGGAATTTATTGAAAAGTAGGGTGTAGAACAAGAGATAGGATCTATCTATAGCTTGATATTTTCTCTTCAATGTTTCAAACATTTAATACGACGATATACTCCTTAGTCCAAACCTTGCTAAATGCTGACTTATCATATTATACTCAGCGGTGATAGAAAACGACAGAAAATGAAAAACAAATGTTTAAGAAATTATTTTAAAAAATATTTAGTGCGTCATTTAAATTATTACAGTAAATATGTGAATAACTGCAGTGGGGTCGCGTGGTGGACAATACCCTAAAAACCCTTTGCCCAGCAGTGGGAAATATATAAGCTGTTACATTATTTTTTACTTTACATTTGATTATAACCAATTTTGGTCCATAATGACAAAATATAACGAGAACTACATTATATTGGGGAGGTAAAATGTCTATATTATAGTCATGTTGCAATGTTTAAGTATGTAGCGCGAAATAAAACTTAGAATTTTGTTTTAATACCATTGAAAAGGTCATGTGTTTAAATAATGATATTATTAATTTAAAAAATGTTATAATGTGGCATTTGCCTACGTTTTAATAATGTGTACGTTCCACAGATATTACACGGTGCAACAAAAGGAAGAAGGCGGTACATGGCAAACTCTACCTGAGCGCGTGGATCCATTTGCTACCTCCTATACGGTGGAAGGACTAAAACCTTATACCGGATACCAATTCCGAATCCGTGCGACCAACGACATAGGCCCCAGTCGTTACAGTAACGCAACCGAAATAGTACGGACTTTGCCCGCCGGTGAATATATTACATTATTACTATGTATTTGCATACAATAAGTACGTACAGACATTAAGTACTTTGTGCATAATATAAGCCACTGTTTTTTTATATGATGGAGATATAACCAGGCACCACAAAGTAAAATCTCTTGTATAATGAATACGAAAAATTACTCTGATTTCTTCCGTAGCTAAATAATACTTTTTTTTTATATAAAAGACTCCTGTTATGTAATTTTTCAACATTATTTTAGTAGGTTACGTAAGCTTTTACTAATTGACGTCGCTGTGATGCAAATTACCTTTTTCGATCAGCGCCAAGCAAAGCAGTAGAGAATCTTCGTGTGGTGCCGATAACGCCCAGCAGCGTGCGAGTGCAATGGTCGCCGCTGAGCGAGCAGCACTGGAGCGGGGACACGCGCACGGGCGGCTACCGGGTCTTCTATCAGCCCCTCACCGACTTCCCCACCTCCCTGCAGCACACAATGAAGCAAGAAGTACCCGGTATCAAGGTAATTTATCATAGCAATGATATACACCTTAAATTCTTTAGTCTGTACAAGCTAAACCAAATCGGAAGAACATAAGGAGAGAAGATAAGTGAGCGAATCCTGCGCGTCATCTGTTGAGCTAAATTTAAAATTTAAATCTTCGCTTCAATTCCTCTTTTAATATTCCAGAGAGTATAAAATATATGATTGCGGTTCGGCCACGCAACGGCTTGTGTATATGTCTGTACTCTGCACGACGGAACGCGAGCGAAAAAACTGAAGCATATCATCTGGCGATCAAGGTGTCCGTACAGTGACTCAATGAAGAGTGTTGGCAATGTCCTCGGGTGGGCGGCCACCTGCAAAGGCGGCCGTTGTAAAGGATGAGGATACCGTTGTAACGATTGCGTCGTAATTGGCTCGTCCGTTGCAGAGCGAGGAGGTGGTGCTGACGGAGCTGGCGGTGGACCGCAACTACGAGATCAGCGTGTGCGCGGTGAACTCGCAGGGCGCGGGCCCCGGCGGCACGCCGGCCGTCGTGTGGGTGGGCGAGGCGGTGCCGACGGCGCCGCCCAGTGACGTCACCGCCGACGCGCTCTCGCCCACCGAGGTGGCCCTCGCCTGGAAGCCGCCCGCGCTCGCGCAGCAGAACGGCGATCTGCTCGGCTACAAGGTAGGCATCGGCCCTATCCGCGCCTCTCCCATACTTTTTACCGACTTCAAAAAAGAAGGAGGTTACTCAATTCGACCGTATATATTTTTACTTTGTGATGAATACATAGATATTAAACTATTATTAATCAGTATAAATCCCATCACAATGACTTGTCTCTTTTTTTTTAATGGAATGGAAAAAATCTCATAATTTTTTTTAATTGTAAGTAAAACGGTAATTACTACCACTTACTATATGCTTACATTATTCCAGTCGACTAATATGTTAATGTTATCCTTTACTTATTTTTATTTAAGTGCACACTTGAATATAAATATATTTTTGAAATGTAACAAAAACAAATGAATATCCCCCCATAATAATAATAATTTTTTTTGAAAAGAAACATTGTTTGCACGGCATATGTGCATAATGCTTATTACATTTAAGATAACTTAGTTTAATTTAGTAAAGAAAAGATTTGCACTAATAAACTAATAAATGATTTTAGTAATAAACAGTTCCTGTATTTCAGATATTTTATCTAATGACCGATTCCCCGGAGGAACCGGAACCAGGACGAAAGGTGGAAGAAGAGATCGAAGTAGTTCCAGCCACCGCGTCATCTCATTCACTCGTGTTTCTAGACAAATATACACAGTACCGTATTCAGGTAATTTCTGACTATTTTATAGCATTTAATTACTAAATCGTGTAGTTTAACACTAGAGCAGTGCAGTGACCGACCATTCGCGGTGCCGGCGCCTATAAAATTGTTGGTTGCAATTTTAATCGCTATCTACGATGGAAAAATGATTACGTAAGAAATATAAAAAATATATATAACTAGTGGACCGGACAGACGTTGTTCTGTACACACGACTTAAATTCAACAACTTAGAAATGTAAAAAATAAAAAAATTGTAGTGGACCAAATTGTGAATCTAAACCATTCTCGAATCGACCTGAAGACACAAAACAATTCATTAAAATGGGCCCAGCCGCTTAGGAGGAGTTCAGTGACATACACACGTACACAAGAAGTATATATATAAAGATTAGTAAAATAATAATGCATTCGGCGCGCAGGTGCTGGCGTTCAACCCGGCCGGCGACGGGCCCCGCTCGAGCGCGATCCAGGTGCGCACGCAGCAGGGGCTGCCGTCGGCGCCTCGCAATATCACCTTCTCCGACATCACCATGAACAGCCTCGTGGTGTCCTGGCAGCCGCCGCGAAGGCGCAACGGCCTCATACTCTCCTACCTCGTCACATACGAGACCATAGAGCAGGACGAGAGTGAGTCGACCATAAGTGTCTATAGGGGACTTATTGAGTCGTCACTTCAACGCGCAATTATAAGTGTTAGGCTATAAAAGTTGAGGCCGCCGTTGTGGTCCGCAGCACTGACGCCCATACTGTACTGTAGGCCCATACTGTACTGTAGGCCCATACACAAAAATATTGCGCACTCACGCGTCATTGTCCCGCATATTAAAGCCGCGTCGCCCGTCCGCGCGCAGGGTTCAGCAAGCAAGTGAAGCAGAAGGTGAGCGAGCAGCGGCTGGCGGTGGGCGGGCTCGAGGAGGAGGTGGAGTACCGGTTCTGGGTGCGCGCGGTGACGGTGGGCGCGGGCGGGGCGGCCGAGGCGCGCGCGCGCACCGGCCCGCAGCCCGGCTCGCCGGCGCCGCCGCGCGCGCTGCGCCTGCGCCCCGACCCCGCCGCGCTGCACCTGCGCTGGGAGAACGCCGCCTCGGGCCGCGGCCCGCTGCTCGGCTACTACATCGAGGCGCGCAAGAAAGGTCGGTGCCGCCCCCTCTGACGGCGGCGGGCGAGGACTAGTGCCCGGCCAGTACCCGGGGCCTGCCCCTTCGGCCAACTACTAAACTAGGGCTGACCACTGCCAAAAAGTTTCTAGAACAGATACCATCACGTCGGTCCGCGAAGCCGCCGAATAGAACACTGCCTCTTCAAGGCGCAATATTTATTTAGATCAAACTTGTTAATTTATATCAAACTTGTTTCAATTAATGATTTGTTTTATTACTAACGTCTACGAGTACGGGTTGCCTAGCGATGATTCAAACCGCTTTGAATCAATATCAATAATGAAATGAAAGAGTAAAAACAATAAAAATAATGAAAGAAGTCAATACAGGCAATGGTTTAATTGTAAGCATTTGAGATCCTTAATTAATTCATCAGATAATGATGATTTAAAAAAGTTTAATCGACATTGTTTTTATGTATTTAAAAAATATCCGACTGAAATACGTAATATCATAAACACATGGAATTTAACATATATACAGATCGATTTTAACAGGATTCTATAATACATTTGAAATTTTACTAAATATTTCGATTTCTATAGCCGCCTGCGTCACCGGAGTAGCTTGTTGAACTCCATAAACAGTATCTTAATAATTAATAAAAACAAGGCCAAATTTTCTGATTCTGCCGAAATGCCTATGCACCCGCCATGGAGATTGTCCGCCAAGGGATCCCGGCCCTCAGCAGCGCGCCCATAGCGCCAGAAAGCAATAGGAATAAATTTGCCCTTTAACCAATTTAGTAAAATTCTCACACATATTATAATATAATTTATTTTTTATGTATTTATGTACTTAGGATGTTATTTAATTGATAAATTTTATTTTTATGCAGCTAAGGAAACGTGGCAAGCCTGTAAGTTTTACTTAGCTGTTGTAACACTTACGCCCTTAATACACTACGCAGCTTTGCTTACCTCCACGATGTTAAATTTACTATTATTGATGCATTGGACAGAATTAATATTCACTTTGACCCAACAATTTAAAAAAATATATATATCAAATATTTAATTTATTTTTATCAATAACGCTTTAACATTTACTACTAAAAAAAAACTTATGTGTACTAAAAGTGCCGTTTTTTACTTTTTTTTTAACGAAAATTGAAATGTTTCCGTTTGCTATTTTGTATCATTTTTATCAACTTTGGCCCAACATTTTATACTGTCAAAATTTAATATTTTAGGGAATTTATGCGGCGAAAACCGTGTCTAAGTTTTCAATAGGGTAGAAAACTTTATTTGTTCTTTGCTTAATGTAAGCATTTATATGATAATTTTTTTTTAAATTTTAGATGACACCAGATGGGAAACAATCACGAGAACCAGCAATGGAATGCTAGAAGAATTTACTATATCATACCAAAGTCTCCTACCATCTACCGCCTATTCCTTTAGAGTGATCGCATACAATATGTATGGAATAAGTAACCCTACGTATAGCGACAAAGTAATTGTGACTCCTTCAAAGTTGTACCTGGAATACGGTTATCTTCAGTACCGTCCGTTCTACCGTCGTACGTGGTTCATGGTGGCACTAGCGGCTGCGTCCATTATAATAATTATAATGGTTATAGCAATACTTTGCGTGAAGAGCAAAAGTTATAAATATAAAAGTAAGCATATTTCTTTAATATTTTACTGATAGTGGTGACTAAATATTAAATCAATTTGTAGTTTCCGACCGGAACTGGTTTTTACGACCGAAACCGAATTTCAGCAAGTCTCAGTTTCCGCCGAAACCGAGACTTCCATAAAAGGATCATGTTTTGAGAAAAAAAAATAATATCTTTATATCATATAGCTATGCAGTCTTCGACATTTTCACTTATTGGTATGATAATCAACTTAACAACACCATTTAAGAAAAAAATATTAACTGCGCCTTAAAAAGACTTAAAATAGGTTTATTTGAGTAGTTAGATTCTTTTTTTAATATTATTCATGGTTATTTTAAATATTAAACATAAAATAACCTATTTAAGTTGTTACCCAATATCACAATAGGAACAGACTAAAATATTTAAGTAATAAACAAAACAAAATAAATCACTTAGCAATACAATAATTCTTAAGAACAAATTAACTTCTTAAACAAAAACAAAAATGTGAAAGCCGACAATAATTTCAGAGCCACCTTTCTCAAAGAAGTTTCGCTTCTTTAAATATTTTGTGTGACAATTTGTGAACAGTTGCACATAAACTCAGATTATTTTGCGGCTTATCATAAATATTATTAGAATTTCACTTGATGCTTAAGGTGTGTTTTTTTATAAATTTGTTAATTTGTAATAAAGTGTTTTTATTAATTAGTCAGCTGTCAGACGATTTAGACTCGTTGAACGTCGCAGCATCAAATAAAATCCGTTCATTCATCCAAATTGACAGTATCACATTGGCTAGTTCACGAATTTAACTGACGAATATGAATCAATGTTGACGAAAAAACCTTCAACGATCCATCGCTAGTCTTCATCGCTTGCTTACATGGATGGAATTTAACGCGCTGATCATAGCACAAGAACTCTCGAATGCAGTTTGGGTTTCGGTCGTAGTTTCGGCAGGTTTGGCGCCGCAACCGAAACCGAACGTTCGGTCGGACACTATCAATTTGACTAAGAGGTTGACATAATTCTTGACAAAAAAAAGTGCTGCATAAACATTGACATTATTTCGTGTTTGTGCTGGGCCGTTGCTAAGCTATTGGCTTCGGCGCCGGAGGTCGTGGGTTTGATTCTCACACGAGACAAGTATTTTTGTGACCCTCAGATAATTGTTACGGATCAGGGTATTTGTTTCCCAAGGAGGATCGATGTCAGGCCGGCGACCGGTTGTAAAAAAACAATAGCCAAAGCCTTACATGATTCACATGTTGTGCCGATGGTGTTTAATAACGGAACCTTAAAAAAATTGCTTTTTCTAGAAAAAGTTTTAGAATTTTATTTATATAGAATAATTAAAAGTATACATTTGCGGTTAGGTATATATCTTATTCAGTATACAGTTGGCGAGGCCTTAAAATTTATCGCAGACACACGTATATATATCGTACATAACAGAACTTTCAACTTCATATTCTAGTAAAATGACGTTTAACTCTTCGTCGTGTAGTTAAAATATTTTTAGGCATCCTAATGTTCAGTGATTAACGCCACCCATGGACATACAGCACTAGTGAATACAGTTGTCAGTTCTCACGCAAACATACGTAGATTCTAGCTTACTGCAGGGTGTCGGTTTTTCGTGACGGTGTGCGAGCACATCGTAAAAATGTACCCTCATCATTTCTCCTTAACGCGCCAAAAGAGGTATAACTTCAAAAATTAAATGTGGCATGTTGAACATGTAACGTATCGGCCACGCGAGCGGCGCACGACAAAAGCTAGTAAACTGCAATATCGACAGAAGAAGCGCAAAAGACGCTTGAGGAGTCGCTGGCGGGCGAGACGGACGAGCGCGGCTCGCTGGCGATGGAGCTGTACCGGTCGCGGCAGAGCTCGGTGGCGAGCGCGGGCGGGGGGCGCGGGCGGCGCGGGCACTCTGCGCCGCGGCAAGGCGGCCGCACTGGCCAAGCCGCCGCCCCGCCCCTCGCCTGCCTCGGTCGCCTACCACAGCGACGAGGAGAGCCTGCGCGCCTACGACGAGAACCCCGACGACTCCTCCCTCACGGAGAAGCCCTCGGAGATCAGCTCCTCTGACTCGCAGGTGATTACCATCAAGATTAGCGTCGTCTAAACGGAACCCACCTCAGCTCCGGCGACACTAAACCCGATCTATATTTCTTTTCGGCCCCACCCCCGAGGATCGCCCTATGGTAAATATCAATGATTGATCGCTAATGCCGATTTTATTTACACGACACGCTTCCTTCCCGATCAGCACTTATAAGTAGGAATCGATTTTGGATGAGCGACATCCTAACACGCGATACTGTACATATATCGAAAAATGCGTTGTTTTATACCTTCGCTAAAACTATTCCAATAGAATCATTTACGAATACGCTATATATGGCACATATTATGTTTAGAAATTAAGTTAGTAATGTTCGTTATATTAATTGACCTTACCTACTTACAACTTACTCAACCTTCATTAGATTCACTATAATTCATTAGTCTTAATAAACCTTATAAATTTCCGAGTATTATAATTTTACCAGTATCAAATTATGAGCGACCTTTGGGGATTACGATGAGATATTATCATATTGAATTAATAATTATGATATCAAGCATACTCGTTGTCGTTCATCATTTGAAAGGTACAACGCCATTACTGCATGAGAACTACCAAACGATAAATTGAACATCTTATCAATTTTTCTATTAAAATTGCATAGAATTCGGAGAGCGAAAACGAGAGCGTTAGATCGGAGCCGCACTCCTTCGTGAACCACTACGCTAACGTGAACGACACGCTGCGGCAGTCGTGGAAGAGGCAGCGGCCCGTGCGCAACTACTCCAGTTACACGGACTCAGAGCCGGAGGGCAGTGCCGTGGTGAGCCTCAACGGCGGCCAGATCGTCATGAACAACATGGCGCGCTCGCGGGCGCCTTTGCCCGGCTTCTCGTCCTTCGTATGACAGGAGCCCGCCGCCGCGGCCGCCGCCCGCGCCGTGCACATGTAACACTGCCCATTCCCACTTTTTTTAATTCTATGTACTCTACTTGTATATACGCTGTTCGTTCTTAAGTTTAATATACTCAGCATGTTGGTTCTATATTCTAAATTGCAAAAGTTCGAGAAAGATTTCTCATCTTTGTACGAATTCGAGACCCTTTTGTACTCAAAATATGTAAATCATTGTTAGACCCGAAACAGTAGTTGTAAGTAAAAAATAGTTAACGTTTATCCTATTTCGACCAATGTTAATTCTATTTCCTTATAGAAAAACGTTAATTAAATATTATACAATATTTATGACCCGTAAATCGTTAGGAACTTTTGACTTTGTAAGATTTCAAAGATTTAGGCAATATTACATATAAATACCCTATAAATTATTGCACTAGAAACTTGCTAATTAAATTTAGCATAGAGTGTACGAAATCGTGACGTTATTGACTAAAATCTTATTATGAAGTGTCTACTAGAGGGCTGCAAAAAGAAACTTAACATAATTTTAATTACGCAACTATAAGTAATTGATTAATATAGGTTATTGTAATTCAAATGCTGCATATGGTATATAATTTAGTTATTATGTTTTTGATCTCATTAACATAATACATGGTAACAAATGCGTTTATTAGAAAATCGTACCGTAAACAGCAATTTATAATATTAGCTAGTTACTAATAGAAATCGCACGTTTCTTGAATATTCAAACAATTAAAACTATATGCTAAGTATATCTTCATAATTGTAATGACATTTTACAACATTTTTTTCGCTGCTTGGCGTTTAGTGCAGTTAAATATAGACATTACAGCTATTTATAAAAGAAACTATTTGATGATAACTATAATTTCATGTATAACATGGTAAAAATAATAGAACTAAAAAAGTATAGAAAGTGGGCATTGCAAATTAAAATTCACCTCGAATCCTATTATAATATTCTAGACTATTCAATAAATCTCTGTCATTACTTATTTGACGAATTAATTGACCTATTCTTAACTACTATTTAATAAGGCACAGTATTTTCGTTCACAGTATAAAACATTTAAATTAGTAAAATATATACCCATATATATTTTCCAGCCTTAAGATATTTTTAAACAATTGTAAATATAAATCACGTAAATATAAATTAGTCATTTTAAAATAGTTCTATAAATAATAGTAAAATATATACCATTTCGGTATTAGTTAAACAAAATTGCAAATTATACTTTAATTTTGTAATATTTTTATAATAAAGTTCTAAAATAAGAACATGCAATTGACTGATAGATTTTAGAACAATAATGATAATTGACTTCATGTATAATCATGTAAATAAATGTCTGTACCTATAATATCCCAACTAAAACAAGCATATTACATGCTAAAATTTGGCACAATTTATAGAAAATAATAAACTGTGATGTATCTTAATTTCATTAATTATAAATTCCTTATTATAAATGTCACTCAAAATCGATATTGATATTCTATTCATATGATGCATTTTTATATTTTTTTTTCTGGCTGATAATAAAAAAAGCACATGATTTAGAAAAAATGTTCAATGGAAATTTATCAAGTAGAACTTGTTAAACTCTGGTGCCATTGTTGTAGCTACTTTAAATCATAATCTGTGTAATTTTTGTTTACACGTAATTTTAATTGTTTTTACAAGATGAATAAATTATGATATTACTATACAAATTATTTTATTTTAATATAAGCAATTTGCCATGTCCTTTATGCTATTTTTTTTAAAAAAACCATCAATTCCAACGAGAAAACTGCTAGTTTTTACACCTCACAGATTAACATAGTTGTTTTTTCATTCTACTTATGTCGTTTTTCAATATAAATAGGCGGAATAAATCAGTGAAAACAAAATGTTGGAAAAACTTTTCGAAATATTTGTTTAGCTAAGTATGGTTAACATAAAAATAAACAAGTGCACTCGCACGTAGGGTTCCCCATACCATTATCTATAACAGCAAAAAAAATCATGTCTGTTGTATGGTCATGAGCGCAACTTAAATATTTTTATTATTGTTAAATACACACTTGTTAGTTCTTTGTTACAGTGCTCTTTAAGACCAAGACTGGCGCGGATAAACAGCATTTTTTCTGATCGGAAATCAACTGAAGAAAAGGAAAATGGATTTTTGCAGTAAGATAAAGGCCAATATAAAAATTATAAATTCCTATGTTGCGATTTTAAGGCATCGCACATTAACTTTATGATTGTAAAAGTAACTAATTGGGTTAAGGAGTCATATGTGGCAAAAGATTCCTAACCTGACAAAGATGTTGGGTAAAATTGAGTGAGAAAGAAACTTACAAGTCTCAATTTTATAAAACTTGTAAAAAACTAGTCTTTTTTTTAAATTCCACACAAATATAGGATTATCATATTATGTAAAAGCATTTTAAAGACGATGTTATTAAAAATTTATTTCTTATGTATAATGTTTACTTATACTATGAACTACTATGAAACTAAAGATGCTAAGTTATATCAGCTAACTTAAATTTTCTCACAAAACTGTGTACATAATATATTTTTCTTCTGTGAAGATATAATTTCTAAAGAGCGTCAGTTTTGTAGTGGGATAAAAATGTAAAGCATTACATAATAAATACAATAAATACTTAACATGAAAATGAAACTGACAAGCTCAATAGACATCTTCTGTGGCATATTATATAAATTATAATTCTTTGTAAATTTCATCACATTGTTTACAATTTACAAGTGCTTACAGATCATAAGGGTATTTTATTTGCATTTGAATTCTTTATTGTCCAGATTGTCAATTCAATTTTAACTCACTATACACTGCCACTACTATCATTGCGTCGTCTCGAAAAGTTTTTCACGAAAGTACTTTATTTTTTGTGCAAAGTACGCTTCTAAACCTTCCGCACATCGGTAAAATTCTGAGTCTTTAGGATTAAAATAACGGCAATTGTCAAAAATTTTAGTCATGTCACCAATAAATTCACTTAATGTACTATAACTTTGTTCATTCACTTTTCTCTCCACTGTTTGCAGATCTGTAAAATTGGGGAATTTATCACTATAATATTAACAATATAATACTTATACATAATGATATCAATATAATATTAGCACTTCGAAAATATACAGCTCTCTACGGTGGTAGGGCCACGCAGCAGCCTCGGCTGTTGCATGCATGGGCAGGCCCGTCCGGGTAAGTACCACAACCTCACAGAAGGCCAGTGTAAAGTGGAAGTATGACAAATACTTTTGCGTTTCGTCTGGCGAGTGAGGTAGCCGGAGCCCAATTTTCAAAAGGTTGTCTACGCATCTGTAACCCTCGGGTGTGGCAGATGTCCATGGGCAGCGGTATTCACTTGACATCAGGTGAGCCGTCTGCTCGTTTGACAACTTTTCGCATGTAAAAGAAACTGAGCGTGTCGTTATAACCGCGACAATAAATTATCACAGGTCTAACGCTACTTGTCAATAATCATAATAAAATATAAACGTTAAAATAAAACCATAATTAAAAAAATATATTTTTCAAACAAACTAATTAAATAAAAAAGAAACAAAATTTGTAACATCCTGTACAACTACAACTGAATTATTCATACATTCAGAGACATTTTCATTTGTTGCCACAATGTCACATTACAAGTCTCTCCTTCTAACAGTATGTTTTATCTCTTTTAAATTCATTCAACCCATTCATATGCTTTGTGACCTTTGTAAATGAACTTTACGTTACAGTTTTATACGTAAGGGTGTTCTAAAATTCTTTGTTTTGGAACATTTAATAACTCTGTAAATATTGATGTTCAAAGAATATAAATGTTTAATACAATTTTAATAAGTTATCCTCTATATGTGTGTTCATTTATTGTCGCGGTTGTAACAACACACTGTATAACAATATCATATGAATACATACCCATTGGCTCCTTAATTACTTTGTAATATGTAGGTGCTTCTCTTGGATCTACCGGCTCCATGAAAGGCCATGCATTTTTATGTAGTTGTATCTGTTTAACAAGCCTTTTTAAATTTTCAAAATCTTTTGCAGAGAGTTCTTTCATATTTGCATAATTGACAGAATTATTTTTTTGACAGTTTGGACAAATGTACTCATCAATGTTATCTGCTTCTGACTGTAAGATACCAACACACCGACCATGGAACCAATCTTGACACCTATCACAACATATGTAGAATCTGAAAATAAAAAAATATCTCTAGTTATTTCTTTAGAATATAAAAACATAGTAAAAATAAAAATGTTTTATTATGTGGTTTTATCATGTAGTTGTTTTTATTGCAATCTATGTTTCAAACAACTTTGTTAAAGTTTAGCATACAAATAATATCAGCTAATATTATGCAGAACTCCTTTTTAAAACAGGGAAAACTTGGTTGCGAATGTGACTTGTACAAATGCGTTGACGCTTGTAATGGAAATAAGCCACCTGACTGTCAATGACCATAGTATGGTGAATGTTATCCACGTGGCGTCGCCATTGTTCCATACCAGCTAAAAATATTTCAAATAAATTACTGAGAATTGTCGTAGGGCTGCCGACACAAGCAATAAAGTTCTTGCGTCTCTTCAGCGCGTCGACAATCTTGGCAAATGTACTCCTCCATTGTCTTACTCATTTCTTCAGTAACCCCAACACAATCGCCGTGGAACCAATTACTACAATGCTCACACCCAACATAAAACCTGAAATCATTGTTAAAATATTAATCTGGTTTAGAAGGTTGAAAATATTTCTGAATACCATAACAATGGGTTTTTCAAAGATTGGACAATGCATGAACAATGCACATAAAAAATTAAATAATAATAAATATTTTAAGACACATTTCTACGCAACATTCTCTAGTCCAAAGGTACGCAAAGCTTGAAATTAAAAATACTTTTCTTTTGTAAATAAATACATATATAAACACTCAGACACTACAAAAACACTACATTTATCACAAAATATTTTTCCAATAGTTGGGATCGAACCCACTTTGCCATTCGGGTCATCTTTAACAATTTTATTTATTAAAATTTGTAAAAAAAGGTATGAAGTCTTTCGCTGCTGTGTGAATTGAACGCACGTCTTCGGGATTCGCACCCTGACGCAATAACCACGAAGTTGGCTGATTGCCACACCGACGAAAATCTTAACGTCTTTTATCTACATTGTTTTTCTAGCATATGAAGCAACGAAAGTTTTAAAATTTTAATATTTAACTTTAAAGTGCAGAGATTAGGCCTATAAAAAAATTATTTATGATATAAATCAGGTCTTTCTCACTTATAGGGCGTGCGAGTCTCTACTACTGAAGAGAATATTCTATACTATTGAAGGAATAATCTATACTATTGAACTCTTAAATTTCTTATAGTAATTCATATAAACACAGTTTAAGTTTTAACAAACTTGAGATACAAAATCGGACCAGCGATAATTTGATAACGTTAAAACATTTTGTAATGAAAATCCCGCCCTTACGGTTGGACCGCTATTTTTGTTGCCCAATCAGAGCGCGCTAGTTAGAACTGTTTTATAAAAAATCTACGCTAATTATTTTTTTGCGGACACATTTCTTCACAACGTTCTCTAATCCCAAACTAAGCAACGCTTGTATTATGGGTAATAGAAAACTGATATACTAGGTAGAATACTGATAACTACTGAACATACCTAAACATTTTTTTAAAATAAATATATATTATACATATATAAACACCCAGACACTGGAAAAACACTATGTTCATCCTTACTATCCTAACTAAAGGCAAAAGTTTGTAATTATATGTATGGATGGATGTTTATTACGCTTTCACGCAAATACTACTGAATGGATTTTAATGAAACATTACAATAATATAGCTTATACATCAGAATAGGACATAGGCTTTAATTTATATACATATTTTATGTATATCTGCCTTTCTGTCCGAATGTTACGCCTTCAGCCTATTCTACGCAGACGTAGTCGCGGGCAGCAGCTAGTCACACAATATGTTCCAGTAGTGGGGATCGAACCAACACCCTCTGGCGCAAGAAGCAAGTTCACTACTCTCCACGACAATTGGGTCATCACTCATTATGTCTGGTAGGGTTTTTTTTTTATTAAAAGTACAAACATTTCCAGGGATATAACGTAACTATACATAATTTGTACAAAATTTTGTTTTACCCAAAGTTTTTATTTATTTCATTATTCATGTTCATGATATATTAAAAGAGAAAATAAAGTGTCATAAAAATTATGCGCATATTTTTATCAAGAGTAAAAATTTTAGAGGGTATACAAAATCGCTAACGACTGATATCGCTTAAACAGCAATATGGGAAGTGGTTACGGAAAAACAATTAAAAGTTGGGTAATTACTACGACGGAAATATAAATTAAATATTCGGAAAAAAATGATTACCATATTATTCAATGAATTTAATTTATAAACATTCAGCGATATCCGGTCATTGGAGGCATTGTATCAAGGCGTACGTACTTGGTGTTGTCGTATGGCGTACGACAGATGCAGAGCAGCTTCTCCTTCTTGACCGACTTCTTGTTGTTGCGGTGCGGCCCATCGCGCCCTGGGCCTGACGTGGTGCGCCGCTTGCCACCCGACGTGCGCACCTCCTCCTGCTTGCTACGCTCTGCGCGCGTACGCAGTGCCAACTCCGCGGACAATTCCTTCTAAACGTACAATTGATTGTTTCAATTAAAAATTTTCCACACAGATGCTATTATCAGAATTTTTTTTTATACAGCGTGTCGTTACCATCGCGACAATAAATGAACACACGTCTAACGCTACTTGCCAAAATTCATAAAAAAATATTAACCTACAAACACAATCCATAATTAAAAAAAAATTTTTTTTAAACAAACTAATTAAGTAAAAAAGAAACAAAATTTGTAACATCCTATACAACTCGCGCCACAGCGTCGCATTACAAGCCTCTCCTTTTAACAGTATGTTTTGTCTCTTTTAAATTCATTCAACCCATTCATATGCTTTGTGACCTTTACAAATGAACTTTACGTTACAGTTTTATACGTAAGGGTGTTCTAAAATTCTTTGTTTTGGAAAATTTAATAACTCTGTAAATATTGATGTTTGAAGAATGTAAATGTTTAATACAATTTTAAAAAGTTATCCTCTATATGTGTGTTCATTTATTGTCGCGGTGGTAACGACACGCTGTATACAAAGAAAAACTGATGCTGTAACAAGTTTTTAAACGAAAGTTTATTTTTTAACATTAACGTAATTATATTTTTTAATCAATAGCGACAAACATAGCCTTCAAATGGCGTTTGAATATACACAGATAAAACATGCTCAGCATTAAGCAATAACTTCGTTGACCAATATTTTACAAGTAAGATTTAGATAGCATTCCCATAACTATTAAGGAGACTATTAATGTATTAGAACCCACATAGATATTTGTAAATATTTTTTTCTCTCTTTCATTATTATTTTAGAACTACATGATAAGATTTGGTAATAAAACAACCTATACTTTAAAAATAGTAAATTGCAGTGTAATGAGTTAAGTTATACATCTTAAATGTATGATTGTCAGTTCGGCAACGACGTAAAAGTTCATCATACTGGACTTTGTGTACTAATTAAACAAAAATAAGTGTTAACTTCTAACCTACGAGTTATATGACTGATTTTCGCTTTATAGTGTTAGAACATACCCACCCTTAAGTTACGGGAATTTAACATAAACACGTTGTATATATTATTATCACCGCCCACCTGTATTTCAACACCGAGTTCCTTCTCGAGGAGACCACGTTTCTTGATTATATCCTTTTTGAGCATCTCCTTATGTTTGAAGAGTAGCATTTGCAGCCGTGAGTGGTTGGTAGCGGCGCGGCGGCGCTCGTCATGGGGCGGCGCGGCGGGCGCATGAGCGAGAGCGTGGGCAGGAGCGGAGGCGGAGGCGGTGGCGGAGGCGGAGGTGGGCGCGGGGACGGGGGCGACGGGAGAGGCGGTCTGCACGGGGATCGGCGTGGGCGAAGGCGTGGGCAGGCGGGCGGTGGGTGCCGGGCGCGTCGGGGGCGGCGGGGTAGGGGGCCGCGCGGGCCGCGAGCGCTTCCGCGGGCTGCTGCTGCTGTCCACCCATTCGTCGTCGTCGTCGTGCCGCGAGGAGATGGCGCGCCGGCGCGGCGGCGACGGCGACTGCACGGCCGCCACTATCGCGCGCATCTCGCGTTCCGTTTGGGCGTCGGGCTTCATCTGCTTCTCCTGGTACCGCTGCAGTTGCAGGAGTTTCTCTTCTATCTCCGGATTGAGGTTCTCCTGCTTTAGTGCGCTTTTTATTGCTGAAACCGTTAAACACCGTAGGGTCTATACATCCAACTTATATTCCGAGGATTCCAATGTAATAAAATATATTCGTTAGGGTTTTTAATAGCATTCAACCTTAGACAAGATTTTAACAATCATTTTTTACTTAAAATTTTACGCCTATGCCATATAAAGCTTGTTTAAATTATTGTAAAATGACTTACTTTGTTGTATGTAGTCTGGAGTCAAAACAAATTTATTGCCAGCTTGCACACCATCACGACCCGAGTTAATTATATCTGTTTTAGTGTTATTCTCATGTATATCTTCCGGTTTAGACGGTATTGCCTCTTTATGACTGGCTGCTTCCGCAACAATATCCTCTCCATTCACTAAGGATTGACGTTTTGTTTGATCTTCTTCAATACCCTCCTAAAATTAAAAATGCTAAATTTGTTGTTGTAGTACAATATTTAAATGCTTACATGATTTGAAAGAAAATGTTTGATAAATTATCAGTCAGAAATCACTTGAAAATTGTAATATATCATAAAATTATATATTAAAATGTATTGTAAAAAATAAAAAGTAAACTATATACATATTAAACTTCTTTTCTAAATTTGAAAAAACAACGAAAATTTCTCACGACAAGTATCTACTTAATAAAAATGTAGTGCATACTAACCAATTGCCATGAAATGTAAATTCTTATAATAAACAATTGAGAATAAAAAGTAATTTAAAATAACACAAACATTATAGGAAACGTAAAAGAATAACAAAAAAAATCTGTTTGTGGGAATATATCAGATGAAGTTAATATACCTGAAATGTGTATAACGAGGCTCTTACACATATTTAACATTTTGTTTATTATGTTGTAATTAATTATTAAATGTAAGCAGTATTTAAAACTTGAATATTTCATTAGTTACGCAATTGCCCATACACCCCCACAAACCGTTAAAACAAAACTTAAGATGCAAAAAAAGGAAAAATTAAAAAAGAAGACTTACATAAATAGGACTTAATAAATAAAAGTCATTCCTGATTATAATATTTTATTAAATTGATATTATTGCACTAGCCATTCACTGTTAATTGTATGAAAGTATTAACTAGAAATACATTAACAAGATAAGGTGGTGTATGAGCAATTATCGTTTTCCAGTAGAAGTTAAATTATTAATGACTAAAGTTACATTGTGAAATATTACAAATCAAATATCATAGTCAAATAAGAATATTCCACAGCTCAAACCAATACATTAGAATTGTCCATTAATTCTAAGCTGATATTAGAAAAAAAATTCGATGTAAGACATTTAAAATTGGCATACCATAATAATGTAAAAATATAGTTTTCTTACATTCCTAGATTGACCATTACTGTAGAATATTCCACTATATTGATCACTTTACACTGACTAACATTATTTAGATACAAAATAGTATGGCCATGATAAGTGATGTGACAGTGTTACTGCTTATAAATTGTAATATACTGAGTCTTATACACTCATATCTAGACTTTATGTTTATGAAAATTGTTAAGTATGTTAATTTTATAATAATTTATTTAACCAACTATATTATCAAAAGCTAAGAGTATGTTCAGCTTCCTGATGTGCGAAAACATTTATGCTAGACAAAAATAATACTGCATCAAAAAATCTATGACAATCTTAGATTTAATTATAAATTAATTTATGCATACGGAAAGGCGGAAAATAAAGTTATGACATAAATAATTCCAAGAGTAAGATAAAAAATCTACCTAACTTTGTACATTTTTATACATATAAAAACATAAATTAAAATTAAACACTTGCAATTATAAAAAGGAAGTATTGTGAAATAATAATTTTTAAATATTTTAATGATGCAGGTGTGTTTTCCGCATTTTCGCCGTTTTAATAATTTTATACACAATAATAGCTAATAATATAGATGTGTGATCTTTGGTGATAAACAAATGAAGAGTATTTTGTTATTCTTAATTTCCCTGAAGTTTTCAAAAACAGTCGTAACAACCACAATTTCGAACTTCATACACACAACCATTAAAATCGTAATAAAAATGTTAAAATTTCAACAATTACACACTGATTTATATGCATTGTTAAATGTTGAAATTGTTAATTATTATTATATAATACCCAGTCTTAAAGTAGTTTATTTACATATTTAAAAATTATTCAAATCTATGCTATGGTAAACGTGTTCACCACTACTTATGTAGCAAAGAAATCCTTAAATAAAGCCATTGCATTAATGTGCAATGACTTTATTTAATCTAGTGCTAAAATGTAATAAATGCATGTTTGTAAAATAATTGAATTTGCAGTTAAGATCCCAATGTATCCTGATTTTTTATATAATTTTCTGATGTTAAAACATTCAAGACATTCAATATGCATAAGAACAAAATATCATTGGATAATAAACATATTCATTCAAAATTAAAATCATTACATATCTGCTTCTTAAGTTCATGTTAATAATATAAGATATAAGTGATACACACATCCTAAACTACCTAAGAATTTTTGGTTATTTTGCATATACAATATATATTTAAACACGATTTCGTCAATAACTTATTGCGAGGAAATTACACGGTGGTATGATAAGCATTGGTATGTCTTTCCTTACGTCTAATAGTAATAAATTACCTGGTGTGCAGGCAAAGAGAGTGGTTGCAGAGTCTGGAGCGGCTGAATCGGCTGTAGAGATTGGATTGGTTGTAAAGTAGGTGGAGCTGTGACAGTAGCTATTGCTGGTGTTGCATTAGGAGTTGGATGTACCGCAAGGTACATTTTTCTGGGCCCCAGCATACCCTGCTTTCCTGTTGATTCTTGAGCTGTGGATCAGAAGAATAAAAGGTAAAATATCTAATTCACTTAAATTATATTCATGTGATTGAAATGAAAACAATTTAAATTTAAAATGCTATAAGCATAAATCATGCTATAAATCTTGAGTACTTAATTTAAAAGATACAACATTTATTTAGTACTGTACAGCACACAGTTTACTAGGTGGTCTCCAGTATTTATGGATTACACATACAAGAAAAACATTCTTGAGGGTTTCAAGTTTTAGGTTAAAAACAATTGCCTAGAATATTCCTGTCATTTTACCTTAAATATCTCTATGTATTATTTCTCAAAGGTGGTTTTTTGTCAAAACACCGTAACTACCATAATTCTTTGTGAAAGGACGATGGCAAAAAAATTGTTGAGAGAAAAAATCTCAAGCATCTACAAATAGCATAATTACAGACATGAATATTATGATTTCTTAAGATTTTTCAATTATACACTACACAACATATACAAGTCACTAAAAAATTCATTTATTTTTGAAAAATCAATCGACTAAAAATATTGGCTGTGGATTCGTCAGGCTTATTTACCGTGCAATTAGTGTTACCATATTACAAAATCTAGTCCCAAGTTAAATAATATGTCTAGTCTATTATTATATTATATTTCGCGTTAAAATATTTCTAAATATTTTTTCACACCATTATCTATACAGATTTAAAAAGTCACATTACCGTGCTAAGAATCAAGTTACCAATTATAAATTAAAATAAGATTGATTTGCAATTATTTCTTAGACCACAAGTAGCAAAACCGATAAATGGAAAAAATAAACACCTGTCAGTCTGGCTAGCTGGACAATGTTAGTTGTGAATATAAAATTAAAACAAAGTTATTTAATTCGTCTAAATACAATTTTAGGACCTACATTTTACCAATTGTGAACTATAAACAGGATGTAGCTAATAACAAATAATTTGTGTATATTTTAAAATAAATGAAAAAATAATAAGCATTCTTAGTTTTCTAAATACTTCATTGCCAGCCTCTGAACTCAATTTTTAACAATACTTTGCCAATAGTAAGTATTCATGATTTTGATTAGACAACACCCTCACTCAAAGTACAAACTAAAAATGGCAGACTGTTGTTTTGCTTTTGTTTTGTACATTGCCCAGTTTTTTTTTTTGTTTAATTTGTGCTGAGTTCATTTTAGTGAATTTACTGGATCTATCATTATCACAGAGTAAGAATATAACTATATATAAGTAATACTATGAAGTGGACGATTTTATGATTTTGGTGGAAATTGTATTGGAGTCTCTCTCACAAATCAGTGAGAGACTCCTTTGCGATATTGATTCTTATATTATTTTAATTTAAATCTTAAGTTGTACCATAAGGATGCTTTGATAATGGAAGGGAAAGAAAGTATAACTTGTGTTAAATGCCAAGTTGTATCTATTGGTTTTGTATCCTAATCTCTTTGTATCGAAAATGGAGAGAATTATTGAGCAATACTCAAAACCATCTTTTCGTAAAAATAAAAATATTAATGAATGTTTTATTGATACCTACCTTAATCTTAATTAATTATACATTAATTCAAAAATTAATGAGAAAAGTAGTAATTTAAAAGTTATATTCAGTCTGGCGAAACTAGAAACAAAAAATTTTTCTATGGACTTTACGCGGCAAATAATGGCGGACATTGCTATCACTCTCCCTCAATGCGGTTTCTCTTTCTTGCAATACAAGAAGTGCCATGTTGTTTGTCAAAACTTAATTTCGCACCGCGTATTTTGAATGTAAATGCTTATCTCATTGTAAATTTAAATTGTTTAGAGTAAACTTTCTGATGAAAACTAATGACAGGTGATCAGAGTTGTACTTTTAATTCAAAATGCCAAAAAGACGGTGACCTGTGAAATGGGTGAAAATCGAGCAAGTCATTCGAATCTTGAAAAAGGATGTTTATGGCGAGATTTCCCTTAGATGAAGCCCATGTAAGCACTTAAATATAATACTTTGCAGCCATATGTAAGTAGAGCAGACTAAGAACAAATAAAATTAACAAATGTATCTCATATAAATTGTGTGCTAGTGATGGACTGCAACTGTAATATCCACATATCGATAACTATGTTGATGTTTATCATTGAAAAAAATAAGAAATAAAATGTTGCGTGAAATAGTAGGGGCACAAAGTTTTACATATTTGAATGGTGTCATACATTAATGACCAAGGATCGGAATAGGTGAATTTTGAAGGATTTCGAATCATAATCTCTGTAATATTGATACGTCATATAATTAATTTCATGCGCTGAGTATGTAAGAAAACTAAAATAATTTTTGGATTTTGATTCTATTTTTATATTTCAATTATTTCCAGACTCGTGTACAGCAGGACAACAGCTGTTGGCTGAAGAATCAAGAAAGAAGTTTCATTTCAGTAATAAAATTTTATTTTAATTAACAGAAACCGTTTTTTATCTTATTTCGGGTCCGTATTACAAGTCCAATCTTCTATTCTACCAAATATCCCCTTATCAACATTGGACATAAATACGGACTCGATACTTACCTACTAAAATTAATAAAAAAATATTAAGTGGAAACCTCGGTTTCTACCTAGTATCTTTTATCGATATCGATAAGAAGCTAAGCTAGCTTGGTTAAGCACTATTTGGCTCGTTACGTTGGTACTCATGTTATTTGACATCTTTGTGGTATTTTTGTGGTATGGTTATTATTGGAGTGCCGCGTAAACTGATATTTTTGGCTAGTATGGGAGTCCCGTCTCTTAAACGTAGTGATTACATTCTCTTTGGTTATATTCATACAATTCCTATAGTTTGGTATAACGTTTTTTATTTATGGAATATGTAATATTATAAATGTTTTTCAAATTTTTCATTATAATTATTAAAAAAACTACTTAATTTTTCTAGCTATTTTGTATATCGAATATCTAAGTTTTTTTAAAAAGTTGTAATAGTCGAAATATATTGATACTATTGTTAAGGAAAATCTGTAACCTAGTTTGGTAAAAGTTTTAAACTTTGTCACAATATAATATAACAGTTGATTAAAATTAATACTCTGTCAGATCGGTTTGAATAGAATATTAGAGATTTAAGGCGCTGTATGCAGCGAATTTTTAACTATTTGGGTGGTGAAGTATGAGGAAGCGGAGGAGGGGTAAAAAATTTAGGGATTTGAACCCAATCCATAAAGAATGATGGTCCTATACACCATATGTATAGGACTGATAGACCAATCACGAGATAAGACATTGAAATTACGCTTTAAATAAATTAATTAACAACTATTAATACATACAAATAATTTATAAATACGAAATATGTGAATATATATTTTTTAGTTTCGTGTTTTGGAAGTTCTAATAATATTAAAACTGTCAATAATAAATAAATACGAAACATATTTCGTAACTAACATAATTAATTAAATTTATATTTACAAATATCTTACATAAATCAAAAAATTAAAACAACAATCCTTTTTATTAATATATTCTACACCACTGATATTAATTTCATTAAGATTTGTTGATGTATTATGTTCATTTTTGGATTTGAATTTCTCTTTTAGAGGTAGTTTCATGATTTTTTTCTATCGAGAAAATATATCGAGAATATGTTTTGGAAACAATGGTCCATTAGCATGTACGATCAAGGTTAACATATATATTTTTTGCTGCTTTATTAAAAAATCTTTTGAAAAACCTATTTTTACTGCACACAGCGCCTTAATATGCTACCCTATAGGTGCTGGAAACTTCTACGGCGTCTTTTGGTTTATTATAATTTTTTTTACATAGACCGCAGTTTATTTTATTGTTTGAATTTGATTGTTGATTAGATTGTTTTTATTATTATTTAAACTTATAGGAGTAGTATATGACATAACCTCAAAAACTAGACCGAAAAATCATTAATTACAGACTTCCTTTAATAACAATTTGAATGTATAATATATTTAGAACATAAAATTCTATAATTTTACATATTTTTCGTCTTAGGACGCAAAAAAATTCGTTCAACAAAAAATTGTATGGGAGTTCACCATTGTCCTTTAATGATTCGACCATTTTAAAGCTTATGTTAATCACAAATGAAAAAAAAAAACTTTACATAATACATAATTAATTTTACATACATTTTTCAAAAAAGAAAAGACAGCTTTCACTGATAAATATTTATTTGCTCATTATTTAATTACCATTAGGTATTATCATACGAAATTTTCAGACAGTACTGTGATCTGATGAGATCATCAAATTTCACACTGTTCAACTAGTTATTATAATAAATGCATTAACTCTATTAAATCTGCACAAGCAAGAATATTGCTGTGAGAACATTTACGTTGTAAGTGTGCGAAAGATTAACGACAGAAAAAAATTACTCTTTTGTCATACATTATGATTAAGCTAACCTCTTTAATTTGACTGCGAACATGGTGACTTATTCATAAGTTAGTAGTAAACTTTGCCAGACATTGTCTTACAGTGCCAAACCAAGTACCTTATTATGTGTCAAAACGATATGGTGAAATGCAATATGCTTTACCTTTTAGCAATTGTTGTTTGACCTGGTGTTGAACAAGCGCCAATTGTTGAGGTGACAATGAGTATCCATGTAATCCCTGCAGCACAATGCTAGGACCACTACTTGTCTGCATGACCTAAAAAGATAAAATACAACAACCTTAATTTTAATTTTTTACTATAGCAATTACATTTATAAAATTTACCATAGTTTATTTTTTCATTTATTTATTTAAACTTTTACACAAAATAATGAAAATTGTGAATAGGCAGACTGCCTAAGGCATTTTCTCCCAGTCAACCTATGGGCAATGCAGAGACAAAAGAGGCAGGTGTAAAAAGTTTCAAATTAAATATTAATTAAACAAAAGTTATATACATATTCATATATAATTAAATTTAAAACATATAGGTACATCAAAATATATTACATAGATACACATATTAAACCCAATATAAAAAAATATTACATTATAATATAAGGATTCAAAATAAAATACATATGCTATAATATTCATAAGTACTTAAATAATGTAAATAAATAATATACAATATCAATAAATACTGATGATTTTATTCTGCCAACTTAGTTTATATGTAGATTGTAAATTTTTTTTTTATAATAAAAACAAAAAGAATTGCTCCTTTTAGTCTATTGTTAAATATTCAATTTTTAAAATATATTTACCTGCGCCGTCACTGTTTTTATAACTGTTCCTGGAGGTTGACCAGCTAAAAGCCGTTTTTCCATTATCTGGTCTTCAGTAAGGTGGTGTTGCGCCGAAGGCGCGGCTAAAGCAAGTGCAGGACGCGGAGCTGTTTGTGGTGCAGTCGCGACAGCTGTGGCTACTGCAGTCACGACAGCAGGAGCTGGATTATTTGGTGTCGCGGCCGTAGGGCTCTGACCAATATGTGCCACAATCTGTGCCTGGTTATTTCCTGTCGGCCGTATCAACACTTGCTGACCATTTACTGTTGCAAGTTGTATCTTGCCTGCAGCAATTTGTTGCACCAATACAGGATTGTTGACAACAATCTGTTGCGTGGAGGGACGTACGCGTGGTGCTTGAGGACGCGGCGTACGTTGCAATATTTGTCCCTGAACCAACACTGTTTGCATTGGTTGCATTCTTGGTTGAATAGTAGGGCGTGCCCCAGCTTGCACAACAACCTGCTGAGTTGGCTGTACAACCAACTGCTGAGAAGGCTGCACGACAACCTGCTGTGACTGCTGCACTGGCTGCATAATTAACTGACGACTCTGCACAATAGTTTGCTGTGTTGGTTGTGTTACAATACGGGAAGTTGTAACAGGTTTTACTTCATCCATGTTGGCTTTTGTTACAATTGTGGGTTTTTCAAAATTTTCAGTAGTTGTAGATTCTGCTTCAGATGTTTTGGCCGTTGAGGATGTAGCAACCAACTGTCCAGATACACCTTGTTGTCCAGCCATAACAACATGCAATTTTCCATCTGGCAATTGTATCAACTGCTGCCCTGCCAGTAAACCTCTGACAGTCAACTTACCATCAGGAGCTCGTATTATTTGAACCTTTTGAGGTCCATCTTTATGAGTATTTGTATTAGATTTTGACACATCTCCGGAAGCAATTGTTTTTGATCCACCTGTTACAGGTTGACTGATAACTCTTGTAGTACCATCAGCACCTTTTGTCATGATAATTCTTCTAGTTCCAATTACAGTTTTCTGACCTGTGGGAGTTCCACTGTTCGTCGTCAATAATGAAGTTAAGGTACTTTTCCCAGAATTTTGAGATGACTTAGCTTTATCTGAAAAAAAAAAAATTATTTATTGTCACATTAATACTTCTGTTAAATTATGTCTTTTGAGAAGCAATGGTAAATTGCCAAATACTTCTTACCTTGTGACATCTCTAGGGCTCTCTTTTGTTGATGAGCTGCTCTTTGTTCGCGTAATTGCTGCTCCATTTTATCTTTAAGGTCTGCGGCATTAGGGGGCGTAGGAGCTATATTCCTCTGTGGAAGTTTTCCTGTTGTCTGTCGCGTTACCGGAGTTATACGTTCCGCCCGTTCTCCATATTGACGAACTTCCCATAATTCTAGTTTATCTTCATCCACCCATTCTTCAGATACCTAAACAAAATATTCAGTACTAACATGTGTTATACAGCGTATCTTTACAACCGCGACAATAAATGAACACACATATAGAGGATAACTTTTTAAAATTGTATTAAACATTTACATTCTTTAAAAATCAATATTTACCGAGTTATAAATTTTCCGAAACACAATTTTAGAACACTCTTACATATAAAACATTAACGTAAAGTTCCTTTGTAATGGTCACAACGCATATGAATGGGTTGAATGAATTTAAAAAAGATAAAACATACTGTTAAAAGGAGAGACTTGTAATGCGATGCTGTGGTAATGAATGAAAAAGTCTCCAAATGTATGAATCAGTCAGTTGTATAGGGTGTGAAAAAGTTTGTTTCTTGTTTACTTAATTAGTTTGTTTGCAAAATATTTTATTTTAACTATGGAGTTTTTTTATATTTTTTTATGATTATTGGTAAATAGTGTTAGACATGTGTTCATTTACTATCGCGGTTGTATCGACACGCTGTATATACTTAAGGTCTTAAAACTGAACTATTAATTTTAACCCCCTAAACAAATATAAAACTTGTATAAAACTATAAAACTTGCTGTGTAATAAAACATTAACATATATCTCACTTCTCCTATACAATAATGCATTCATCATTGGTATAAATAGATCTTTGCAGATTTTGATTATTTTTATTTCCAACGTAAAAAATTGACGAGCGGTGGCTAATGTAATATCATCACCCCCACCCACAGACATTTACAAAACACAAGTGTTTACCACAGGGAGGAACCCGCCCACAATTAGTGCCATATCAGAAGCTGATGTGTGGACATCTATTTTATTTTAACTGCATATAGCCCTTACCTGTGGTTCTGTGTTTTGGGGTGATTCCGCACGTTTACGTTTCCTTAATCCACTTCGTATTGAAGTAACTTCACGCACTGTCTTAGGTAGTTCTAGGGGAATAACAACCTTTCGACGTAGATATTGCGTTCTTTCTGAAAACTGACCTATATGCCGATGTTTTAGTAGTTCCAAAGAAACTATCTCAGTGTCTGTTGTAAGCTGATGTTTGCCATCGGCTGTAGCTGGTTTGGCAGCCATATCATCCCACCTCAGACAGGCCCACATTATACGCAGTTGAAGAGCAGCACTTGCTAACCATTGCAGATTTACTGTACGATATAACCAACAAGTTTTAAAGAGGGGTCTGGCACAAGGATAAGGCCATACGGCTTGATTAGGCTTTGCATTATTACTAAATCCAGCAACAGTGCTATGCCCAGACTGTCGGCAAAGTTTCCTTAATTCGTGATGTGGTAAAACCATGATAGTTTTAGCTTTGCTTTTAGTGTGAAATGACGAACATAAGGGATATTTTACAGGAGTTCTTTTCTTTTTCTTCTCCATTGCTGATGTTTGGACTCTTTTTAGATATACTTTACCACATGGGTTTTCTGCTGAATATATTCTTGTTACACCATCCATTTTTTCTTCTTTCATAATCTTGTCATCTTTTTTCATTGACCTTGTAAAACCAAATCTTCTATTTACAGTTGCCCTATATTTTGGTTTAGAATCATTTTTACTTAGTGTTACAGAACATTCATATGAAGAATCTCGTAAGTTATGGTTTTGTCCTAAATTAGCGGCACTGGAGGTCTTGCTAGACCTACCTCGTGTTATCTTTAATTTAGGAATCGGGGGGCGACTTTTGACTGGATCATTTTCACTAGAATTTTCATCTGGTAAATCTCCACTATCAGTCAATTCTTTCAAGGGGCCAATTTCAACTTCACTATCTTCTATATTATTGCATGTTATATCGATATCCATTTCATTGCCAACAGCTGGCACTGCAGATTCTTCCAAAGTGCTTTCAGATTTTATAGTACACATAGATATCTCATTTTCATTCTTTTCAACTTTAATAACTCCATCAACTCCACTAGACTTTCTTTTAACAAAACAGTCACTATTTTTATTATCACACTCTTGGGCACATGCTACTGCAGATAACAAATCAGTTAAAATATTTTCTTTGGAATTAGTACTTTTTCCTAAAAGGTACTGTTCTAAAATTGACATTTTATTATCTGCCTTAGAATTAAGCAAATATGTGGGATTGATAGCCCCATCCTTTAAAACAGATAAAAGTTCATTCAACAATTTACCTTTTTCTATACATAATGGTGAGTAGCAATCTACTTTAAATCCTGAAGATACTTGACCTGTAACTGACAATTCCACTTTATTGCATCCATGTGAATAACATCTGAACTGCTTTGTCAATTGATTCAAGGTTTGATATTGATTTCGAAGAAAATCAACATTTTTAGCAACAGCAAGAGAAATCTTTGGTATTGCATCAATAACCGATCCACATATAGAAGCTGGGTCTATATCAGGTTCCTCTGATTCTACATCTACATTTTTGTCCTCTTCATTTATAACATCTACCTCTTCTTCTTTCTTTATATTGGCCAGTAAATTCCCCAGCTTTTTCTCCTCCATAAACTTTAAATAAGTGCGTCGTGCAAGAAAATCATCTAATTTAGACTTTCTAGCTATTTTAGGGTAATATCTTCTTGTAGATGAACTTAAAGCTTTTTCCACATCTATTTCTTCAAAATCTTCAGATTCTTTTTCGAATTTCATGTTTCGCATTGATGATGGTACTGAAAAAGTTTGGTACATAATATATTATACACATTTATTATTTTAATCATGGATTTAATTTAAAAGAATAATAAATTGTATTTAGTGGTGGTTGGAAAAAAGGATGAATAATATTAATAAAACCTGATTTTAAATTTTGTGAAAAAATGATAGCTACTTGACAGTATTTTCATTGTGTACATTATACCTATATTTGTATAATGAAACAGATAAAGATAAAAATAATACTTACATTTCTCTAAAACATCTTCATCTGCAGTATCATTTGATGTCAAATATTCATAAGTTTTTGGCTCAACTGCCAACACCTTTATTGTATTTCCTTCTCTAACTCTAACAGCCATTTTGGCTGGTCCATTTAGTAAGTTTAATTTATGATTTGTGTGATGTTTTTTAAATTTTCTAGTTGATGAATTCCATAGCCAACCCCATTGTCCATGAATCCTATATTCCTCGCCTTTTTGTTTCCACACCTTTGCAAACATATTGCACATATTACACTTATACATAACAGATAAAATAAAAATATGATGTAATTTATTAAAGAATAGTTAAAACCTGATGGCGAAGTCCTAAAGAATATTTAACAAAATTGTATGCTGTTCTATATCTTTCTTCTTCTTCATCTCTCTCCTTTTTTTCCCTTTTATCCAATTTCTTTCGTTCCTCTCGTTCTGTTGCAGTAGTTCTTATAAGTCTTACATGGCCCAACTGTTCGTGCCAGGCTTGCACCCAAACAACACTTTTTATGCATGCCTATAATTAAAAATAATGATTAAGAGAATATTATAAAAACATTTTACACAAAGACTGTCTACAATAAATCTAATAAAAATAATTATTATATTTGCCTACTGTTTAATAATATGTTGTGCAAGCTTTTAATAAAAGTAAAGAAGGCATTCACAAATACACATTTTGAAATAAGTTAAATTTTATCTTAATTTTATATATGAAATACTTTAGCACAAAGTAAATAAAACTTAATTATGTTTCACCTGTAAAACACAGAGAGCTCTAGCAAAATCCCTTGGAGCTTGACATAGTTGCACAGCTTGCACCCATGGTTTTCTTAATAAAGACCAATTTGGATGCATAAACTGCAATACTATGTTAGATTCCAAATGAAGTAATGTTTGTCTGAGTGTAGCCACTAATAAAGGTTTAGTAGCTGGAAAGCAATGATATTTTTAGTTCATCATAATTTTTATTATAATAGAAAAAACATTCATAAATTATTCTAAAAATTAATACCATTAAGTAAACCAATCCATTTAAATTCTTGACCGGATGATAATGAAAATTTATGTGAAATGTATCTTTTTTTGTCTCTTTCTTCATTCCTTTGAGGCTTGTTTAATGCTAGAGGATTACTTGTGTATTGGTTAATATAAGTTTTGAATGCATTTTCATTTCCCAATTTGAAGAGATAGGTACCATTTGAAATTTGATTAGATTTCAATCTAGTAACCCTTTCAGTAACTGAAACACAACATAAAAAACTAAAAGTGAACTATATAATTATAAGCTTTTTATACAATAAATGAGGAATGTCGGTACAAAAACTGATAAATCACATTATGACATTATTTATTTTAAGGATGGCAATTGGCAGTTTATGTACACATCTACACTACACATGTAGCCATCTTGTATCAAATGTATTAATAAACGGCTTAATCTTCTTTAAAAACTTTCTCAAAGCACACTAATCTGGACATGAACCGATAAATCAATCAAATTGTTTCATGATTGGAACATACACTAACAAATCCGTAGAAGTTTTCATGGGTCATTCAATTTGGTTGATTCAAGACCAAGAAATTCATTTCCAAAGTCTTATAGGAAACATGGGTAGTTTTATTACTGTGGCAAGATTGGAGTTTAAAGAATGTCAAACATCTAGAAACATTTTATAAAAAACTAGAAGGAATGTGAGGATTTTTTTATGTGAGAAGGTGGCAAACGAGCTGGCGGATCCCCTCATGTTAAGTGATAACCATTGGCATTTGCTACACCTAAACATATCACTTTGTCACAACATACATTTCCGGTCAGTCTGATTGAAAACCAAAGTCCATTTTGTTTTTAAATTTCTCATCACATACCGGACACATAAATCTGTGACTTGGATATGAAAACAATGTTGCCAAGACCTATAAGCAAGTAAAGTTTGTTAATCTCTAAATTGGGAATCCATAGACATATGTATTTTTTTTTATTTCCGGAAAAATTGTTAATTGCGATTTATAGGCTTTCTTTCTGACGCTCCTCAAATGAAATGATAATAAGAAATAATTTAAAACTGAAAATTGATTTTATTTATAAAGGTATATATTATATAATAAGTATAATATAATTAAATACTAATACATATTTTAAGTGATTGTTTTTGTTGAACATTGTAATATGTGTTTACTCTTATTTTACTTTACTCACCTTCCTCACTTTTTTTTTGTAAAAATTTTATTTTGTGTTGATTATTTTTTTGCATTTTATAGTTGTCATCATCCAAATCTGGTTGCTCGTCATTATCTGTTTTAAGATTATCCTCACTTGTAACAGTTACCTCATTCACAACATCCCCATCAGCATCTAATGCTATTTCTGTTTCATGTTTATCATCTTCTAACTTTAAATCATGTTCTTGATCATTTTGTTTCTTTTCTTCCCTTAGCTCCCGTTGTTTAATAATACTAGCATTTTCCACCTCTAGATATGATTTTCTATTTCCTTTAACTTGGTTTGTTAGTTTTTCTGTAATGTCCATCTGTCTCACAATTTCTTTTTTCATTTCTAAGAACTCTCTGACAAGAGGTGCTTCCATTTCATCACCATCCAGAATATTTAATAATTCTTGGAATTGCTGTGCTGATGAATAGTACCATACGTCACCATTTTCTGCCTCTCTGAAAATAAATAATATGTTGTACTAATTTATTTATTTTCTTTACACAGTTTTATATTACTTTACATTCAAAAATTCTATATACATAAGGTTAAAAGTTCGGCAATCAATTATAATCGCCTTTCATGAAGCCGGTAGATCCAAGAGAAGCATTGTTATACAGGATGTCGTTACAACCGCGACAATAAATGAACACACGTATAGAGGATAACTTTTTGAACATCCTTACATATAAAACTGTATCGTAAAGTATATTTGTAAAGGTTACAAAGCATATGAATGGGTTGAATGAATTTAAGAGATAAAACATACTGTTAGAAGGCGAGATTTGTAATGCGACGCTGTGGCAACGAATGAAAAAGTACGAATGTATGAATCAGTCAGTTGTAGTTGTAAAGGATGTTACAAATTTTGTTTCTTTTTTATTTTTTTAATTTTTTGGATTTTTTTAACTTTTTTATTTATTTTTTATGATTATTGGCAATTAGCGTTAGACGTATGTTCATTTATTGTCGCGGTTGTAACGACACGATGTATATTACGTCAAACAGAAATTGATACATACATAAAAATGCGTCTTGCAATAAACCAATATTTTCTTCCATGTCGATCAAAGCCTAAATGTTCATGACGACATAGCAGGCCTTGTTTCTCTGCATCAGGAAGGCAATCTGTTACACCCATAGTTTTGTGTTGTTTACATAAAGCACACTGCCAGTCTTCAGAAGGCACATCAACAAGAGGTGGATCAACACATTCCAAATGAAATACTGCAGGGCAAGTTTCACAGCATAATAAATCACCAAGACGATGACAAACTCGACAATGGTCATCATAATGTATCGGAGCTGCAACAGAATTCACACATTTTAGATAGTAAATTTATATAATGATGATCTTTTAGTATAGTTACATATCTGAGCCCTAATATTATATTTGCTTAAGTTTAGTATAATTACTTAAATCAATAAAACGTGACATAAAAAGAGTATATGTATTTAATAATGGGATCAAGATTGATGCTTACTAGCTGATTTTTACACATAGAATTTCAAATGTGACAGGAACATATTGAAACCACTACAATAATATCTACTACATACACCTTGCAAGTAAAATTAAATAGCGTCTTATTACTATTATCTAATGAATCAAAACATATATAGGCCATTGCATAATGTTTTGAATACTAACCTTCACTTATTAAGTCATCGCGAACTGGGTTAGTTATTAAAAATTGATTACACAAAAATTGTAACACAACTATACGGTCTTCAATTGATGTAAAAGGATATTCACATGAATTGAGAATTTTTGGTAAATTTTGGTCAAAAGATTTATCACTCTCAACATATACTCGTAAGACTTCCGGCCAAGTCATTACATCCAATAAAAACAATGTAATATTAACACTATCCTTATGGTCCAATGGACCAAAATGTGTTTGTTGTGCATCTTCCTCCCTTAGCAGAGCCTTCAATAACATAATATGTATTTCTATTAAGAGATTGCTTTGATCTTCACAACTTAATGCTGCACATAAATCTTCCAAACGAAATGGGGATAGCCTCACAAGATGTCTGAAGTGCCTTAAAACTTCATATATGCCAACTACTTGCAATACCAAACTATGAGGAATTATTAAATCGTCTGATGAAATAGGGAGCTCCAAAGGAGGGATTTTTCGTTCCTGTTGTAGCCATAAAGGATCAGGGCTAGGCGGACGAATTAAGTTAGTTGTAGTTTTTCGAGGAGCACCCCCTGTTGAACTACAACTGCTGATAGAAAAGTCACTATCGCTGGCTCCGCCATCGCCTGCTATACTTCCCTCAGAAGTATCACTTACTCGATCTTCTTCTAGGTCTGAACGATCACTGAATTCATCTCCAAAATCTGATCCATAGTGATATTCCGATTCATGAAAATCAGCTGCTTGGGGATTATATCCTCTTCGTGAATACGAATTCGACAAACCGCCTCGTTTGCTTTTATGCGTTTTTCCACCTCTTTGTTTTCTAGTACTACGTCTACTTATATCACTTCCTTGTGGAGATGATGCTCTTGATGCCGACGGCGTACTTGCGAGGGAACCAGAACCAGCATTATGCGCTTGTAAATATTTCGGTTTTTTCAATAAATGAAATTGAAATTTCCTATTTTTTTCAAATGTTCCAGATTTTGGGGGCCTCCCGCGTTTTTTTGCCCCCCTTCCCGACATCGTTACAATCAACTGTCAATTAAGTACTTTTTCGCACGTGTATAGCAAACACATACTTGTTTACAAAAACAAAACCATATACCTAATTGTATTTAGATTCATCCTAAATCTAAAGCATTCATGGTCCCAGCCGTTTTAGATTCATACTACAAATCGAATGTCACAACTTTTGTAGCACAATTCACACTATTTTTTACACGATAAATGAATAGTATGCAATTCACTGATAACAGACAAGTACAAATTTTTATCAAAGAAAGAAGGCACCAAAATCGTAATGACGCGAAATGTGAATAGGTACATGCAATTCTGAAAACGCTCGATGCTGGCTTCTCATTGGTCAATAATCAGTCCGCCATGTCGTTTTTATAACTTGTGGGTTATTGAATTTATTTCTAATAGTTGTACCTAAAGACTCAGAAAGTATGGTAACAAAGTTATTAAATATTAACAGGAACAATAGCAGCATACGCGAAAAATATCAGTGAAAAATTAATAAGCGCACCGATCACTACATTGCGCTATAAAGCAAATAATTTAGGATTTGCGTGGTCGGCAGCCATTTTCTTTCTTCACTAAGAGATTGTCAAAATATATCCTAATATTTCAAAATATTATAAAGATCACACTTTATCTTGTTTTTTATATGGAGGACTTGTAAAATCATACTTATTTAATTGTGCTATTTTATAAACAATACTCGTATCAATATTTAATTAACTAAATAAAAGAACGTGAAGCAAGCGGATAGCAAAGTACCAATATTATAAATTTATTAGAACATGTAAGACCACTAACAACTTTTTTTTAAGAATAAAACAAAAAAAAATCCTTTTGTGATTGTGATTTTCTTAAATTAGTAATAGTTTATAATTTAACTTCATTTTACATTACACGTATGTTTACAAAATAAAAAAATATTTATCAGTGTGAAAGATTCAAAAACTTATGTATTATCATACCAAAGTTACCAAAAACCTGTGATTATATTACAATAATATAAAGTGTGATGTGATAAACTTTTTGCTTGTATATCTAAAGTTGAAAATGATGATTAAATATAAATGTTATAATAAGAATTATTACATCCAAATATGCTTGAAAAGAATCTTATGGCATATGTAGAATTAAGTTATTTTTTTTTTAATAAATATAACAATAACATTTATTACATCTTTTTCACTCTGTACGTTAACTACTTTTAATTTTTATACATCATAGGACAAGTAGCTGGATGTCCGAGCTTTGCTCGGTTTAAAAAAAGGAAAAGAAATAGAATATAATATATATATATATAGCGTGTCGTTACCATCGCGACAATAAATGAACACACGTCTAACGCTACTTGCCAATAATCATAAAAAAATATTAACATGAAACAAAATCCATAATTAAAAAAAATATATTTTTCAAACAAATTAATTACGTAAAAAAGAAACAAAATTTGTAACACCTATACAATTCGCGCCACAGCGTCGCATTACAAGCCTCTCCTTCTAACAGTATGTTTTGTCTCTTTTAAATTCATTCAACCCATTCATATGCTTTGTGACCTTTACAAATGAACTTTACGTTACAGTTTTCTATGTAAGAGTGTTCTAAAATTGTTTGTTTTGGAAAATTTAATAACTCTGTAAATATCGATGTTTGAAGAATTTAAATGTTTAATACAACTTTAAAAAGTTATCCCCTATATGTGTGTTCATTTATTGTCGCGATGGTAACGACACGCTGTTAAGTCTTAAGTGCAGAGATTAGCACTATAAAAAAAAAAATTCTTAAAAATGTAAATTGTTTAAAAGTAAATATTTATTACTTATTAAAACAAAATTGCCAGACTTCCTAAAACAGAACTTGTTGACAATGCGGTAGTCATTCATAAATACCTAGATTTTGCTGTGCACGCACACAAACAAAACGAAGCGCTCGCGACGATAAATCGCAGACGACCCTTCCTCTCTTCCCGCGTCCGCCGGAGCGCCAGGGCAGGATTTTGTACTATAATTATAGTATTTGTACTATAATTTCATTACTTTACCTAAATGACCAATATTATACCATTGTCTGCCAATCCAACAATAAAAGAAGCTCTTTGGGTTGTAATCACCTTGTAATTCTTTAACTTTTTTCAGTACTTTGGACTTTTTGACAAAAATTGGACTTTTGAAATACTCCGGTTTCACAAACAGTACCTTTACACTCAATGAAGTAATTAATAATACGATTAATTTATTATTTTTATGATACTGCTCATTCAAAATTCAAAGTCATAACAATTTTCTGCGAGTTTATGCGTAAAATAATTTATTTTTTGTGCACTATAATTTTTGCCTTCTAGATAAATGTAGTGGTTATATTCTCTTTGGCCCGTTTTGGAAGGAAAATTGGAATCATAAACTTACTTGTGCTATGATACGCGTGTAATAACAAACTTTAGTTGTTTGCTTGTCACAATGTACATAGAGATAAGTGTGGACATATATGCGTCGTATACTTTTGAAACGAACTTGTCTGCGTGAAAGTTATGAATGATAAAATAAACGAGTTGCGTATAAATCACGCACTTTTTGAGATAAGTTCAAATGAATGTAATTAATTACTTACGAGTGATTTTAAATATTTATCGTTTTTTATATAACATTGTTTATGTCTAGAATTTAATAAAAAAAATGGATACACTTAGAAAAACCCCTGTATATATACAAGAATTGTTCTTCGTCAATCTTTTTTTAATTCTTTACCATAAGTATGTGAATTGCTTAGCTAAATTCTTGAGAAAAATATTTAATTTTTATAATCAAACTAGCTGACCCAACAAACGTTGTTTTGTCATATAAATTATTTCTAGAGGAATTGGAACGCACGCCTAAAGTGTTTGACAGGTTACAAAAACTTGACAGGTACAGTTTGGGAAAATAAAATTGTTGCTATTTCGATTTTCCATACAATTTTTCCAGCCAAATCAGTCAATTTTAGCCAAATCGGTTCAGCCGTTCGCGAGTTTTAGCGAGACTATCGAACAGCAATCCTAAACTTTGAGATGGTTTCTTGCAGACAATAACTGTGATACTTTGATTTTATGGCCATTATTTAAAATTTGATGGCAACACTGATTTACATATGGACCATAGATATTATATACTGAAATGGAAAAATGATATCATAGATAAGACATATATACTGAATGAATGATATGGACTATGGATTTCATATGAGCTAACTTATCTCTTTAAAAATAATTATCTTCGTGAAGTTGAATTATTTAAGGCATATATATATATATATATATATATATACAATATTAAATGTTGGTTATTTCTACAGCGTTCTATTAGTGATATAAACAAACATGTACCATATGAAAACTATTGTACCTACTGATGATAATATCACGCTGCCACAGTGCATATATTACCTAAAAAATCCAAACAATTATTTGAGAGTCGAAGAAACGGATATCAATATTAGTGATCAGGTTAAGAGGTTTCTTAAGGTTATAACTAGCTTATTACTATCCAAATATTATTTTAAGTTGTTAAATACCTACCTGTTTTTGATGTTATTCTAATGTAGGCACTCAAATTGAGGTCAAATAACATTATACGCATCTATTTCGTGATTTTCATGTCTTATCTTTTTCTGTGGCACGAACAAAAATTTAATTATTTTATATCAACGTGGATTTCAAATCTGCCAAACGCTTGCTTCCTTTACCTAAAATATTAATATATTGGTCTGAGCATTTCGAACTATATAGTTTTGCTTGGCTAAGTGACTCTTGTTGCCACAATAAGTGATAAATATAATTGAAGTAGCTGTAACAGAATAATTATTTTAAACCTTCCCAGTTCATTACTCCCTTGGAATGCTGTCTTATTAGGTGTAAAAATGTGGATTTTAATTGTGATGTTAATTTATCAAAATCAATATGTTTACTGTATCTTTTACTACAAGTAAAATAATAGAAGCTCTTAATCAAAATTTAGTGAAATATTCAAATTTTAGGAATCACCAAACAAAACAATGGTAGAATTGGAACATCGACAAACCCAGTTGCTGCAAAAGTTGGATGTGCTTTACGAGAGAATTAAAGCAATTAGTAACTTATGTGCATTGGATATTCCATCAAAAACTGGCCTAGTGAAAGTCGAAACTGTAAGAGCTTTTAAAAATATTTATTATGACAGAAATCAGAAACTGCCTTTATATGCAGAATTAAATTATTAATTATATATCTTACATTAATGTCATATTTGACTTGTTTTTTGTTGTAATTGGCTCCACATTATATGTACTTAATCACACAACAAATAATTTGGTTTTTCAAAAGTTTTCACATGTTTTTAAAAGATTTAAAATTTTATAATTGGAGATGATAATGCAAAAAGTTTTCTATGAGAAGATAATGTAAATCATTTTGCATTATTTGTTTATATCTTTCTATACATATGTTTTAATATTTGTTATAACAAAAGATGAACCTTCTTTCTAAAAACAGTCGTATTAGTAGTCCTTTTTACCACTTACATATTAAGATGGTTTACTTGTAAGAGGTTTCTACTTTCTTCATCTGATAATTGTTATTGATATTTGTTTCCAAGCATCCCTCACCCAGTACCATAGATTAATATTCTCATAAGTTCTGTCCTAGTTTTAGTTGTGTATGTTTGTTGCCAAAGAACTACTCAGTTTGTAACACAATTTGTTTTATATTATTTTACAGTTAGCTAATGCCAAGGAAATTGTTATTGTATTAAATCCTGAAATTGTACCCTGTTTTATGAACATATTTTTAAAAGCAAAGCGTGCTTTGAACTTATCATGGCACATTCATTCATCTGTTCCAAATAAAAAGGCTTTAAAATTAAAGGAATATTTCAACAATAAAAAAGATTTATACCAAGTGGTGCCTAACGCTGAAATAAATATAAGACTAATATTTAAATGTGGTAAGTGTTCAAATTATTTTTAAGGTAGTTAAAACATTTTGTTCAGTTCTATTAAATTCATAACTTTTTATTTTTAATTACATTTTATCAACAGCTCACACTTTAACCAAATATTACTAGTTAACTAAATTTTAATAATGTTTCTAACATTTGACAATGGCATGAAGAAACAAAAAACTTTCTTGTTTTCAATAATTATGCAATTCTATTCACATTCAACTCGTTGTTTATTTGTTGTAGCTAATCTAGCTGAGTGAAAGTAAAGTGAAGTAACAGCCTATACATTTCCCACTGGGGAAAGGCCTCCTCTATACAGAGGGTATCAGGGCATAGTCCACCATGTGGTCCCACTGCGGGTTGGCGGACTTCACATATCTTCGAAATATACTTTTTTTTTTGTTATTATTTCGAAAATATGTAGTTTTCCTCACGATGTTTTACTTCAACGCGGAGCACGTGATAAGTCAGCACTTAAAGTTAAAAACTTCATTGGTGCCGGCACCGGGGATCAAACTCAGCTTGCTCGAGTATATTGAATTAAAGGTGAGCGCCCGGATACTGAGCTACCACGGCTCTAATCTGAGTGTGTCATCTTTATTATGCCTAATATTTTTATATTGAACTTTACAATTTCTTATGTATAACCATTTATAAATTAATAATTATCAGTTTCAGCTTCGGCAGAGTTAAGAGTATCATCATTGGAAGTGCCTTTACTGGGTATAGTCAATATATTAAGATATCTTTGTTCTGTCTACCCAAATGTGATTCCGTATAAAGAAAATGATTTCTATGCTGACAGTCTACTAGATCTATGCCATTTATTAGAGAAGACATCAGAAAAGCGAAAAGAAGATATTACCACTAGTCTTTTTGCAGAATGCAAAAATTGGATCCATGAGGATGAATTTTCAGTTGTGGATTTAGCAGCTTTCATTATAATTAGGTGGCAAAACATAACAAAATCAGTTCCAAAAAGTTGGTATGCTAAATGCGAAAAGATGTTGTAATAAACAATGTTTGATTTAATTAAAAATATGCTGTATGAATGTATTTTATTTGAAAGCAATTGGACATTGCCAGCAGATGATTGTAGTGATATTTTTAAGCTATTTATAGCGGAAATCAAAGGCAATATGTATGCTCTAAAATATAGTTTCAACTCAATTGTCACAATAAGGAACTAAAATTTTTAAAGGTATGTAATTTTTATGAAAAAATAAAAACTAAACTTCAAATTTTGAGGAGTTTTTTTTTGTTGTATCTCTGTTATCCAAGGTCGAATATGAATGAAATTAATATGGGATACCATGAGAGCTGAACCAAACCAAAAAATTCTTTAAGCATTGGATTTGGTTCAGCTCTCGTAGCTCTATCCTTGATAATGATACAGGAATTCACTACAACTTCAATGTTGTCCACTACCACCTAGGAACGGCAAAGTCGGCCTTGCTATTTTTAAATGTGACTGAGGTACCTTACTCTGGCTTACACATCATATGTTTCTTATCTTGTTGATAGCGCCAACCATCCTCGCGTCTGTGCGGGCCTATACAGGGAGATTTTTTGAGAAGTGCCCAAATTTACACAGGAGGTTCAGACTCGGTAGTATAATCGTTTATATGTTTACAATGCGGTGTGAACCGAACTTGTGTGCGTGTTAGTTATGAAAGATCGCGCGTAAAATAAATGAGTTGCGTATAAATCACGCACTTTTTGAGATAAGTTCAAATGAATATAATCATTTACTTACGAGTGATTTTAAACATTTATCGTTTTTTATATAATATTACTTATGTCTAGAATTTCATAAAAAAAATGGATACACTTAGAAAAGCCACCCTGTATAGGTCCTATAACGGCGACACCGAAACAGACTGACTGATTAACTAGGATACCTTCCTGAGAAATTGTGTAACTGGATCACTAGTTTTCTTACTTGTCGGAGTATCTAGGTGCTTGCACTGACGATAAATTCTTGAATATGAATTGATAAATTCGTGGTCTACCACAAGGCTGTGTCCTGTCCCCCACTCTGTTCCTTCTTCATATCAATGTTTCGTTGCATATTTGCAACATTCATTGCTATGCGAATGACACTAAGAGTGACTGCATTAAATACCGGCCAGGCAAATGTTTCTCAGGAGTGCGATGACGACTGTCGGAATAACCTGATGTCTGAAGTCGGTAGTTATTTTTTTGCAAAATCTCGGATTGGGGCCGACTAAATCTAGTCTGGTTTAAGCCCATGAATTCACAAGTTTGCGTGTTTACCGTGAAGAGGGAACCATTCGTTACATCTCCCTCTTTTGAAGGCACTCTCCTTGTGTAATTAATATTTATTTTTAGTGCTAGTTTCTGGCACTCAAGATGAAACTTTTTTTATTGTCATATTTTTGGTAGATAAATGATGAATGAAGCGGCCGATGACCTCACGGCGTGAAGATCTTGACACCTAATCTTGACGTTCGTTTTATTGCGTTTTTAGTACCCACCAGCTGCGATAGTGAATTATTTATACATTCCACTCTATTCGAACGCAAAAAAATCAGGTGGAACGATAAGACCATCTAGTGAGAAAACAAAGGCTGTTATGACCTTTCCAGTGCCTAAAAATTTGAAACAACTGCACAGCTTCATAGGATTAACTTCGTACTTCAGGAAGTTTATTCAAAATTATGCTTTAATAGCGAAGCCATTAAGTGGTTTATTGAAAAAAGGTGAGTTTAAGTTTGAGGATGTGCAAAGACAAGCTTTTGACGAATTAAAGTCAAAATTATGTTGTGAACCAGTGTTGAAAATATTTGATGTTCATTTGGAAACTGAATTACATACAGATGCTTCTATGCATGGATATGCAGCTATTTTAATGCAACGAGACCCTAATGATGGTTGTCAACATCCTGTTCACTACATGAGCAGAAAGACTACAGAAGTTCAACAAAAGTGTTGCAGTTACGAGTTAGAAGCTTTAGCTGTTATTGAAGCCGTGAAGAAATTCAGAAGATATCTTATAGGAATACCCTTTAAAATTGTCACTGATTGTGAAGCCTTTCAAAAAACCTTGAACAAAAAGGATGCATCTGCAAAAGTAGCACGATGGATACTATACTTACAGGATTTTCAGTATTCTATAGAACATAGAACAGGAGACAAGATGCAACATGTTGACGCATTGAGCAGAAACATTTGTTTTGTTGATGTTGAGTTACATGCGAGAATAAAGAAGGCACAAGAAGAAGATGAAGGGTTAAAGATTATCAGAAAACTATTAGAAAAGAATGGATATGAAGATTATTTTTTAGAGAATGATGTTATCTATAAAGGACCGGAGAAGAAATTGGTATTACCTGATATGATGGATATGGAATTGATTAAAAAAGCCCATGGAATTGGACATTTCGGGAAGAAGAAGATTAAGGATATAATAGAAAAAGATTATTACATTACAAAACTAGACAGTAAAATCGATAAGATTGTTTCTACCTGTGTACCCTGTTTATTAGCGAGTAGAAAGTCTGGTAAGAAAGAAGGCTTTTTAAATCCAATTGATAAAGGAGAATTACCACTGGATACTTTACATTGTGATCATTTAGGGCCATTAGATGCAACTAAGAAAATGTATAACTACATACTTACTGTAATTGATGGATATACAAAGTTCGTCTGGATTTATCCTGTTAAGACTGTGGCAGCAAAGGAAACCGTAGAAAAGTTAAAGTTGCACCAGAAAGATTATGGTAACCCACGGAGAATCATTACTGACCGAGGAGTAGCTTTTACAGGGAATGAATTTCAAGAGTACTGTTAAGAGGAAGGCATTAAACATATCACTATTGCCACTGGAATACCACGCGGAAATGGTCAAGTTGAAAGGGTGAACAGAGTTATTATTTCTACTTTAACAAAGATGTGTATAGAAGAACCAGGCCATTGGTATAGGCATGTGAGTAAGCTTCAAAGAGTCATTAATAGCACATATCAATGATCAATTAACACAACACCTTTTGAATTGTTAACGGGAGTGAAACTTAAACTGAAGGAAGATTTATCCATTATGGAATACTTAGAAGAGGAAAGCAGAATCGAATTTATGAGTAGAAGAGATGAAACAAGAAGAGAGGCTAAGGCACAAATATTAAAGATCCAAGAAGAGAATAGAAAGACATATAACAAAAGACGTAAAGAAGGAGAGAAGTACAAGCAAGGTGATCTAGTTGCTATACAACGTGTACAGTTTGGAACTGCGTTAAAATTAAAACCAAAATTCTACGGACCATATCGAATTACAAAGGAGTTGGGAAGGGGTAGGTATGAGGTAGAGAAAATAGACAGAGGTAAAGAAGGGCCGATAAGAACTACATCAGCTTCAGATTATATGAAGAGATGGCCTTGATACAAATTGTTTTTGTAATTTTGTATTTTTTAAACATCTACTAAAACTGCCTAAACTACCTGTGGTTGTAAAGGAATAAGCTAATTAGTGTTGTTATTTTTTTTGTTGTATGTTTAAACACTTATGTCTATGAAGAAGAAAAAAAAAATGTTAAGTACTTAGTATAACTGTGGTAAAGTAGCTTCAGTCTGAGGCCAGACTGATTTGCAGAATGGCCGAGTTGTAGGATTAATTATTTAATAGTTGAGTAAAAGATTATTTTTGAACGAAGTATTGTGTGAATGAGAAGGATGGATGACGTAAAAGGGATTGAGGGACTTTTCGCAACGACGCCACGGACGAGTAACGTGTATCTGTGTTTTAAAATGTATTAATTTAAATAAAGATGAAAATAGTAATAATATACTCAAAATAAAGATTTTATTTATTCTACGCCTACATATATATATATATATATATATATATATCTTGTAACTAATAATATGCAAAGTTACTGTTCAACAAGCGGAGTATTGGAAAGTATAGGAAAAGTATACTTCTGAGTCATCATCATTCCACCAATGTCAAGTTTTCCTTATAATTCTCACTTTTATAATCAGTAAAAGTATAATACAAAAGATATCGCCGTAAATAGTTCGTTGATGATGATTATATCAATCAATTTTAATATGGTATATTTTGAGGACTTAATAATTTTTTTAAATGATGCCAAGTTTTGACGAAATATATCTATGTCTTTACATAAAATATATGCCGCCGATGTTTGTTTTTTTTACGAAAATAGTGGTTCTATCGTAAAAAACATAAACGGAAGTGACTTCGAAAACGAGTACCCCAATCATTTTTCTGATTGACTATCTGCAGAGCTTCGCGAGTGACAGAAATGTGTCACTAAAAGTCACGGGGCAGTAGGTTTGAACAAAGACAATTGGCAAGTAGTAATAAGAAATTCTTGCGCGAGCTGACCATATTTGAAGATTCCCCACGTGAGGTATCCATACCACGGCTGGAACTAATGTCGGTATTACTGGGTGCAAGGTTGGCCACCACTATATTGAAAAAAAACAGACCTGGACGTCGTCCGAAAAATATAATGGTCTGATTTCACTACCTTTCTGCACTGGATGAAGTCCAATAGGCGACGATTTAAAAATTTTCGTTGCGCATCGCTTCGCAAAGATGAAGAGTTAACAAAGCCCCAGGAGTGGAGGTGGGTCTCATTGCGGGATAGCCGATGACGGATGACGAGAACAGTCAAACGTCGAGGTCCTTCGGCAGTAAGTCGTGATGGTTCTGCGACACAGAATTATTTATTTATTTAAACTTTTACACAAAAAATTAACATTGTGTATAGGCGGACTTAATGCCTAAGGCATTATCTACCAGTCAACCTATGGGCGACGCAGAGACA